CCCCATTGGAACGCATTAAATAGATTTCAATGCATTCCAATGGGGAATCGCATTTCGCAAGACGATGTTTTCACAAGACAGCGATTTTCGCAGAACAAATTAACATTGTCTTGCGAGGCACCACTGTATTTAAGATGCCACAAGGCTCATGTCCTTTTTATTTGTCCACTTATTATTTTTCTTTTGTTTTTGTCTGTAATGCTTGCACAGACTAACACATTTACCTCTTCTAGAAATTTACATTAATCTCATGTCTCTGTGTCAAAAAAAGTGGTCAAAATAGCTAATAATGAGAGGTAGATCTTTAAAAATAATCATTTAATTTTTGCAGAGGAAATGTCAAACTACCAGATGGTAACTAAAAAAATAAAAATAAAAATCACTAAGCACATACGGTCCTTAAATATCCCACTTACCTTGAAAGCCCTATTAGGATCCCTGTTAAGTCACTTCTGACTTGACAGCACAGAAAACACAAATACACACAGAAGAGGCCTAAGCCACAGTATCTATCAAGGCTGTTCTTATGTCCAAGGATTAAGCAGTACCTCTATTACTAAGTTTGCCACTGTTTTACAAAGCTCATGCCATTGGCTGCATCCCTATTTCTCATATACAGCCATAAACCAAGCCAAAAACGTATTTATCTCAATGTGCCGCAATTTAATGAACTGAAAGCTGATATACCACCGGCCAGCAATATGGTGCAAGCGGTTAAAATCCACTGTTTTAATAATTCCTCTGTGAAACGGGTCTGAGTTCTTGATAGCTTGATGCTTGCTCAGATTTTAATTTAATGAAAGGCAATCTAAGACTCTGTGCATGCATTTTCAGCTTTTTATTTGGCTTTCACACAGTGACCCACTCAAATTGCTACCTCCTACTTGGTTACGTATACAGGAAAGATCACAAAACCATCTCCCTAGAAGCCAATTACGTTTTAATTCTGACGCAGGCTACTAAACCCACTAAGGATTCTTACTGCCTTCAGGCCAGCACTTCCCTACACAGGGCACACAAGGCAAGCCAAAACCACAGGCCTGAAGTGGTCACCCTCTCCAAGGCTAGTGTCCGTAACTGCACGGCCTCTTCAATGCCAGCAGACCCTTTTCCTCTCTCTCTCTCTTGCCATGGAACTTATGCGCTGGCTGGAATCCGTTGGCACTTACCAGGAATATGGTTGCCCATGTATTTGATATGCATTTCATGCAAGCCAACCTCAACAGGAGCGTATCTAACTGTTACTGTGCCATCCTTGTTATCCACAATGTCTGCTGTTGCAGTCTTCCCTGATGGCATATGGACTTCCCCTATAAACAGAAGGATTAAAATGAACTCGAAAGCACAGAGTGTTCTCTGAAGCAAGGCTGTCTATCCCAAGTATTTTTATGTTCAATCGTCTATGATATTGGAGTCCTCCTTTCAATTCCCCAGGCAGGGGGGACATTGAAAGGACCCTTGCCCTACGTTATCAAGGGTTGCAGGGATTGTCCTGCACTTCTCTTCACATACATTCTGTTTATATACAAGCCTCCTCTTCCATTCAGGCTTGGGGGTTCCTTTAGTCTTTTTGTAGAGCGAACAAATAACTGGCAAGACTTTAACTTAAGCCACACAAGACTGCTTTAAACACGTATCTCTCTTTGTGTAGCTCTTCCAAGTCAAGGAAGTAGAGCTGCTAATCCTATGATCAATACTGCAGTATTTGCCTTGTACAAGTCTTCATCTTATTTGGTTGTCATTAAGCACTTGGTGGGTTTTTCCCCCTCTTTTTCGGTGTATATGTGAAATTCATTCTGTGCAGCAGAATTATATTTTTAAAAACATTATTTTAGAAGACAGCTTTATAAAGATTGGTAAATTCCTAGCACATCTCAGTGAAGCAGCATCTGTTGCTCTTGCCATCCAAACAGGGGAAGTCTCACCAGGGGTTGGTTTGCCACTGACCTGCCAAAGCTGACAGATGTAAAACTCATTCAAGAGCTGCTACTCTGGGCAAGGCTAAAGAGCAGATTAAATACGATGTGTCCACAGTGCAGGATTAAGGACAACAGCAGCTATTTTTCAGGAGGGGGTTGCTTTCCACCATACTGACAGAACCGTGCAATTCTACTTAAACTCAGTGAGAAAGCAGGTTGGAAAATGTTGTAAAATCAGTGCTACTACATGAAGAATAAGGATATTAAGACCTCTGGGTAGTGTGGGCGGCATATAAAATAAATAAATAAATAAATAAATAAATAAATAAATAAATAAATAAATAAATAAATAAATAAATAAATTTATTTATTTTTTAAAAAAAAAGAATAAGGACATTAAGGATATTAAGAATAAGGATAATTTGAGTGGAGTAAGACTCAAAACATACAGCCCGCAAGGAATTTTACTTTATGTTAACAAGATGAATGATAAAATGCTCTACAGAAATCACTGCAGCCAACTGAGAACTACTTACCAGTTATTTCTCCCTTCCGCACTGCAAAAGGAATGACTATATCAAAGGGCTTAAACCCTATACCATTCATATCACCATCAGGTACATAAGCTTCTTCTGTGACCTAAAGCAAAATATATACATATGTAATTGCAAATCTTCTAATAGAGAATTTGATTATTTGGGGGAAGTGAGTTCAGATAGTTACAGTCCAAAAAGATGACACTGTTCTGCTCCCAAAGCTGATCACCACACTCACTACTCCCAAGCATGCTTTAAATTTAACATATTCCAAAGAGCATGTTTTAAACACACAAATGGTAGAGTGAAGACACAAGATGGCTGGCATGTAAAAGACAAGGGACAGCTCCACCTGAAAGAAGTGACCCCGGCCACAGCCTGGAAGTTATTTTTTTAAAAGCAGAAGTGAGGTGACACCACAAGATAAAGCCAGAGTAATATGATCAGCAACACAACTCCAGAAGATGCTGCTTGCCATGATGTGGGCGAGGAGGAAATCGACAACGAAGTTCCCTAAGAAAAGAGCAACATTGCTGAAAATGATTGTGATATTAGAAGCTAGTCACAAAAGTCATTATTAGCACAATAGGAAAGGAAGGGTTTGAATCACATCCAAGGTCTGCCATAGTAGTATTTTGACCCACCACCAAGGTATGAGATGAAAGCAAGCTCAAGCAATCTCAGAAGGAAGTTGTTTCTTGGATGAAACATGGAAAAGAAAGTGTAAAAAAAAAAAAGACTGTGTACCCAGGGGCGGGCTCCAGGGGGACAGGCTGCATTTAATGGTTCCTGAGACAACACTGCAACTTCATCTGCATCTGTAGCCTGGTTGGTGGCAAAAGGTAAGGTATAGTTTAAGAACTTTCTCTTTCCTTCAAGCAGCATACAAAATCATCACAAGTTAAGCTCCAGATATCTGCCCGCCCACCCTACTCTGGCTGGCAATACTCTCTAAAACACAGGTAGCCTGTATGAGTTGCACGGGGCCTTCCAAATAAGGCAGCTGCCCTGCGTGAAGCAAGACTACTTTTGTGTGTCTCTGGTTTACACACACCTCTTCCCAGCTGCCAACACCCCAGGGACCCTACCACCTCCCTACAAATGCCTTATTAAACTGCATTCATTGGCATTCCCTGAAATAAAGTGGGGACTCACTGTAAACAGAAATGCTAGACTATGTGGATGATATAACCTGTGATAGCTTTCCTGTAATCTTAGTCTCCATGACTGCACTCAACGCATACAGGAATATAACCACCAAACGTTACTTTTACTTCCAGTTGGCTTTGTTTGCCCCCCAGTGTCGCAGGCACACAGTCAAAACCAGTCGGACACAAAAGGCCTATTTAACTTTCTATTTACTTTCTACCACTTCTTAACTCTCTGAGCTCACAGTGGAGAGGAGGAGCAAAAACGGCAAGGCAAGGCAACAAGGGCTGTGAAAGGGTGCAAAAAAGGCAACAGCTTTGGCTGTCATGTTTGGGAGCTGTTTATTTCTCACAAACATGACCTGAAAAAAGGACTTCATTTGCCACAAACCCTGGGAGAAACTTTCAGTGCAACTTGTTAACACTGAAGTTGAAAAGCAAGTTATTTGGCTCATGCACCAAATTACTTGTTAGAGATCATGCTCACTTAGAAGGTTTCAAAATTAAGCTCCTAATCCTCTTACCATTACAGTGAAGGGACTGTTTGGAATATCCACTCCACCAAAGCGGACATAAATTACATAGGTTCCTGGTTTGGCAGCTGTGTAATAAATGTCGTACGTCCCATCCTCATTTTCAATGACCTCAGCTTCAGCTTCAGAGCCGTCTGGTGTCAGGACAGTGCACGTCACTCTACCTTTTCCTGCAGATTTAGCATCGACCACAAAGCCAACTTCCTCTCCAGTCTTCACCATGGCTGCAATGCCAGGACCTGCAAGATAATTGGCACAACTATTGGTTTCGCTTTTCATAACCTCTGCCAAGAAAGGAGCATGAAGTTTCCTCCTCGAGGAGCATGTAGTTGCCTCTACCATTACAAACACAGCAAGCGCCCCTGAAACCATGAGACAAAAATATTGACATAAAACCTCTGCAAACAGGCAGGTCTCACCCAAGCCAAATGTCTGCCTGCTGCCTGTGAAGATGGAAGAGGCAGGAAGAGATTCATCTGTGCTCAGGATGTGTCTCCATTGAACTGGCACTCCTGTTATTGAATAATTCTGCCAATACCCATACAGACGACGGCTCCGAATGCTTCCCTACTCTGGAGTCAACATATGCGAGAGCAGGGGGACTTTTGTGGTTTATAACAAAATAAGAACACTTTACACAAATAAAGTTTTATAATGCGGTCTACTCTTCTTACATAGCACTCTAAGCAAAGGTATGTGCTACGTGAACATTATATATTGAATAATTCTGCCAATACCCATACAGATGACATCTCTGAATGCTTCCCCACTCTTGAGTCAACATATGCGAGAGCAGGGGGACTTTTGTGGTTTATAACAAAATAAGAACACTTTACACAAATAAAGTTTTATAATGCAGTCTACTCTTCTTCTAAGCAAAGGTATGTGCTACGTGAACATTATATAAATGTTGTGTGTCATGTTTCTTGTCTTGCCTGCAGGATTTAGCCACCTGCGTGAATGATGAAACTCCACATCACTGCAAAAAGAATCCTCCCTCCCTGTGCTGGCTTTCATAGGGAAGGTTTCTAAGGGTACAGTATAATGCCAATACAAACCCTACAGGGGGAAAGAGAACCTTTGGCCCTCCAGATGGTTTGGCCTCCAGATGGTTTGGCCTAATAGCACAGCACTTACATTTCCCCTTATTCAAGCCAACTGAGCACCTACAGTCCCACGAAGGACTCACGTACCCCCTCAGATATCTAGATACTAATAGCACAGCACTTACATTTCCCCTTATTCAAGCCAACTGAGCACCTACAGTCCCAACTAGGACTCACGTACCCCCTCAGATATCTAGATAAACTGTTTTGCAAGACTGGTACATTTAACACTGCTTAGACACTGGTCTGGCCTGCCTCTCATGCTGAACAAAACTCCTGGATGTACATGAGCATCATACATCTTTGCTCATGTGAAGGAGGACCTAACAAGTAAAGATTAAGAACCTAAACATGATCCCAATGGTAAATGTTAACTCAAATCTGCATTCAAGGGGTAAGTTCTTGGCTGTCTCATGCTGCAAGCAGTAAGGCAGGTGGACATCAGCCATGTTTATGAAGCCAGAATTTCTGGCTTAGTGGGGCACAGGAATGCAGCCACTTTTGTTTGCACATGGACCTGAATATGCACACAAGGGCGACATCTTGCCTGCACAATTTGGCAGCATCTGAGAATCCAGCAAATTTTTGCTCCACTTATTTACAAATCAAGCAGTCATACCTGAGGCAGATTACACCCAAGCTTTGTATTTCTTAAATGACTACTTTCAGCTATCTCAGTATGGCAATGCTGTGTCCCTGAGATTCCTATCTTAAGCTAGACTGGAACAATTTGTCTAAACCAGAAATAGCAGCACAATGAAATACTGTTACAAAAAGATTGCAGAAGGTTTTTATTGCTTAAAGTACAGGAGCTCAGAGGAGCTAAGAGGGTTCCCTTTGCTCAGGCAGTTGCAGGAAAATCAGTGGAGTTCAAGGCAGGAATTTACCTGTTGCTAAACACTTGCTAGCATCTCCTGCTGGTGATACACGGACTCGATACGGAGAAAGAGGTATATCATCCCCACCATACTTAATGCCAACGGAGTATCGACCAGTCTTGTCAGGAATGTAAGTTACTGCATAAGTGCCATCGTTGTTGTCATGGATATTTGCCTTCTTTGGTTTGCCATCTTGGTCCTGAACGTCAGAACCAAAACCATAATTAACACAAGCAAGCCTTGTAACAAGCAAGAAGGAACACTGTAGATAGCAAGAATTGAGATGCATTTGCGCGCTTAGCTTGATAGTTTCTCTTAGCAAGCTTCTTTACTAAAGGTTCATATGGGATTTAACTTATAGAAATACTGGTTTTTGCTGTCTTTGAAGTCCTGTCCCTTAATTAGAAAACCCTTGGGACGAGGCTTCCGGAAGTAAACATTCAATATTCTCCACATAGTATGAGAAACATGACGCATTAAGAGCTCTTAAGAACCACAGAATATGAATGTGTCTCTAAGTAATACATTTAACATAGACCATCAATGTGACACTGCAAATACCAACAGGAAACCATTATAATCACTGCATCTTCGAATGCAGGAAGTTCAGAGCATTCTTAAACATAAGTCTAATACAAGACCGTTACACCTCATCCCAGGACAGCTTTTACATAGACTACCTCTGCAATTTTTTACTCATAAATAGCTGCAAGTCAAACTGGTTAGTTTTACTAAGATTCCGCTACAAGTCTAAACTTGCATTATTTCTTCTTGAAATATTTTCCACAAATGGTTTGTTAGACAAAGACTGTATTATATGTTACTTGGATCAGGCAATATGTAGTTATCCAGGCAAGCAACTCTGAGTCACTCTAAGAGTTAACTAACCCTTCTCCAAACCAATGCCTACATCTGAAAAAGCTTTTTTTAAAAACTGCCCTGAAACAAAGCCCAGAACAGCTATGATTAGCTTGAAAACATGTACCGGCCTTCTACAGGACCTTGTCCATGTTCATTCATGGTGAAAACTGTAGACTGGCCTAGTTTAGGGAATTTGAAAAGGCCAAGAATAGTTCATATCAAAAAGCACTATTACACATACTAAGTCTAGGAAACCCTGGTTGGTATACAGGCATTTCATCTCAAAAAAAAGACTGCACACATGGCCCATGCTAAATTCTGATAATAAACAATTGAAATTTTAAGGAACACTAAACTCTCCTATGGAAAGCTGTTTTGTTCTAATTAGCCATTTAACCCTTCCTGATGCTCAGCATAAGACCGCTTTGCTGAAGAAAACAGTTCGATTTGAAAAAAGACCAGAAGAGATCATGTCTTACTGTGACGTCTACTGAAAGTAGTCCCTGGCCTGCATCTCTAGCATCGACAACAAAATCAGCAGGCATGCTGGCTGGAACCCCATGGGCGCTCAGGCCCGGCCCACTGGCTGTCACTTTGCTGGCCTCGTATGTCGGAAGCACCTTGACTTTGAATGGACTGTTGAAAAAAGGAAATCAGTTTTTTAAATGTTGAAAATCAGTAACACTTTCCTAACAACTATTATACTAACCACTGGCCTGAAAAATAGAAGACTGCTGACTACTAACCATACTTACCGTATGGCTTTTCATCCATCAGCTACTCAGTCATTCAGACCTGAAGGGCAGAACACTAAATACTTACATATATCATATGCACAAGCTAACTGCACATTTGGAGAAGACTGTGGGATAAGCACACCAATTGTTCCCCTCCTTCTACACAACACAAGACATTAGGCAGCCTGTAAAGTGATGTCTGGATTCTATCATCCAGGGCAATGCATGTAACTTGTGAAACTTCAATGCTCCCTCTTCTACAGCGAACAAAAGAAGTTGAGCTCTAGTAGCAGAATGACAATCTTCTTCATCCCCTCAGGTATTATTATGTCAAGGCTAAGGCCATTCAATAATGGTGCAATCCACAGAAAATACAGAGGACACCCAATAGTAGCTATATAGGTGCAGTTCAACAGCTTGCTTTTTTGTTTCCCTCCTTACCTTCTAGGAATCTCTTCATCTGCATATTTTACTGCAACTGTGTAAGGACCTTCTTGCGTAGGTGTGTATGATACTGTATGAGTGCCATCGCCATTGTCAACTACGTTAACAGGTTCTGCCAAGCCTAAGTAGGAGGAGGGAAAAGAGAGACTACCTTTAATTCCTTCAGCTGCCTTCCCACGAGAGCTCCAGTTTCATACAAATAATTCTGTCGCTTGGAGCATAAACGCATAATGCTGATTTAAAGGTTTGCAAGAAGTGTACCACAGACATCTGCTTTGTGGCCTCTTAAGAAAAAAACCCATTTATTCCTATCATTCCAAGTCTGTGACCTCACCAGTTGGAAAGAGATGAAATCACTGACAATTTCTTGGCTGGCCCAATGCCAACAGCTGTAAGAGGGACTGGAACAATTTATTGTTCCAAAATTAGACAGGTGGTTAGGTCAGTTATCAAGCATATTTAACGTCCACATTTAAACTTCCACAAATGGGAATGATTTTCATACTTATGCATACTACCACTGGTTAGGCTTGACATCTAATAAGAGCATGGAACATCTGTAGGAACTACAGCTCCCAGAATCTCTTTCCCACCACAGCCACTGGTTATATTGGCTGAGAGATTCTGGGACTTGTAGTCCCAAAAAGGATTTTTCCCAAAGATGTATTGAAATCATGTTGTTCCAATTACACATGCAGAATGCAAACAGTATAGCATTCAGTCACTTCTAGCTGGCAGTTAAGAAGTCACCATTGGGATTCTTGGGGGTAGGTGTATGCACCCACTAATTTGCCATGTACTTGAGAATTTCAGTAGAGATTCATTAACTATTGGCTACAAGTGACAGAATATTACACCAATTACTTTTCTGCACATGTAACTGAGCAACAGGATTACCATCTCTGAATTCCAACTGGAATTGTAGCTTGTTAGTTTAGGACAGTTAGGTTAGGTTTTTTTTTAACTCAAGGTGCCATTGAGAAGTTTACAGAGCTGAATAAATTTGGCACTACCAAGTAAGTGTTATTTCATCTGCCAGTTCAAATCACGAAGAATTTAAGATTATCCCAAAATCCAAAGTGAGTAATTTGTACATGCAGCCATTTTACAAGATTAGTTGCACAAGAAAAAGTTGTGATTAAACTGATCTGAAGACACAGTCATAGTGACCTTAAAGAAAACAGAGAGAATTTTAGTAAAATAAGTATTTCAATGAGAAGTTAGCAACATAGAAGCAAAGCAAAGCAAATTTAATCAAGCAAATTCCAGTTACAGTTTAAAATTATAGTCTGATTTTAAAAGGCCAAAATGGTTAAAAGGTCAAAGTAATTAGTTAGTGAAAGTTCAAACCTGTCTCATTAGATTCACTTTGGGGGTCACCTTTAAAGAACTCTGGAACTGCTTTCAGTGGGCTGTGCCACAACTGGGAATCCGGCTCATCAACTAGAATTTAAAAACTATTCACTTAATACCTCAGAACCAGAATTTTTGTTAATCGTCCCATATGCCTTGCTTAAAAAGGCTACAGATGCAGCAGCCATGTTAGACCAAACGTGTTTTATTCAGCACAGCTACCTGATAGAATCTATGTGCACCAATATGTCTATTGGAGATTTATTTACTCTCACAAAAAATACTTCTAAATAGAAAGTTGAACGCAGTCTGCCAACAACAGGCCTGAAGTGAATTTACAATGCGAAGTTATCTTCTGAGTTCACATTTAAAATCTGTTTCAAATATTTCCTGAAGAACTGCAGATATTCAAATATTTGGTATTGTTGTTTGAAATTCAAGGTATTTGATTTTCTGTATCAGCCTGACAGTAACAGAATCCGTTCAGTTGTCCTCTCCCCTTCCCCCTCATTCTTTCGTACCATATCCTTTTCTTTCCCCTTCCCCACCACCAGTGAGGTTGGTCTTCACCTCTACTGTCCATCTACTTTCACCTTGCAAGAAACAAGTCTCTTCAAGCAAAGATAATCCATGTCACGTCTATGTAACATCAAGGCAAGCTCTATAAATGTGCCAGGAAAATAACCATCTCCATTTTCTTCAGTATGTTACAACACAGTGTACATTGTTCTTTATACACCCATCTTAAAAATCTCTTACACATTTTTTATCAACAGATGTAAAAATATTTCAAATAAGGATTACCTACTTCAGCTGGGACAGAGGTGGGCAAAGGGCAGCCTATTTGTTGGATTGCAACTCCCAGCATTCCTTGCCATCAAATATGTTGGCTAGGGTTGCTGGGAAGTGCAATATCACATTTGGAGGTCCACACTTCGCCCAATTGCGAACCAAGAGATTTAACATTTCTGAAAACCACATACAATGCTGTGTCAGCTCACTGCTCAAGATACTTAATTTGACTATATTCATTAGAAGAAGTGCAGCTGTAACAGGAGTTTGTGTTCATACCTCTACACCAGAGGTCGTCAATCCCCGGTCCGGTTCTGGTCCGGGCCACGGAGACAGATCTCCCTCCCCCCTACACACAGCTACTTTGCACACACACACATACACACACACACACACACACACGTGCCAGCGCCAGCGTGAATGCTCCCCCATCCCTTCATGCATGCAGGCGCGCAGGTGGGCAGACACTTCTCCGCATGCGTGAAGGAGTGGGGGAGTGCTCACACTAGCACTGGTGGGGGGCGCACTCCTCCACTGCTTTGCGCATGCACCTGAGAGAGAGCGTGCATGCGCGGGGGATGCCCAGCCTTCCTCAAAGGCTCAGCTGGTCCACGGTCCCAAAAAGGTTGCTCTACACAACTGCTACAAACCCCCATTTTTAAAAAATAGCATGAATTTCAAGCTACTAAACTGACACCTTACCTCTTGGTCCTGTCACTGCAACTTCCAGTGGTGCAATTCCAGCCTTACTGGTATCCACAGTAAAGGATTGGGGAATGTGAGCACGAACTGCTGTTCCCAAACCTGGTCCTGCAACTTTCACCTTGTAGGGATCAATTACATCTTTTACAGGAACCTTAAATGGACTGCCTGTCAATTAAGAAAAAAAACAAGGGTTAGCCTGGCTGCAAGTAGGCTGAAGCACTAAACAGCAAGAGCAGAGCCTGAAAGACAATAATCATCCTCTCACAGCTCAGCCTTCTCACAATGCCCACTTGGCCCTAACTGACAGTGATTTAATATTTGTAGGTTTTATCTGTACTGCATTTCAGGTAATCAAGTTTAGTTCCACTGTGGATTCTTTCTGAGAAAATATGTCCTATAAATAAAGTTGCTATCTATGTTCCCCAAGCAGAGAATACGCTGTTGTGTATTAAGCCTGTTGGAGTATCTTTAGTCTGGTTTCTGTGAAAGTTCCATTCTTTGGTTTAAAACATTATGAAGAAAGCCAAAGTTTTCCGTAATCAATAAAAGGCAAATAACCCAAGAAATGCAATTAAAGATCTGAAATGGAAATGTGGCACTTGTACCTTCGAATCTGGTTGACTGAGCACTAGGATTTCAGGTGCACAAATCAGAAGAGAGGGCCTACAGCAGCTTTCTTAGAGGAACAATGTAATTTGCAAGAAAAACCTAAGAGCTCTAAGAATGTGTTATGCATTCGTGGCTGTACTGCAGGGTATGAATGAACTTTGACACAGGCTACTGAAAAAACCAAACATTCAAAATATGGAGTTGCCACAAAATGCTAAGAATATACTGAAGGGCAGCCAAACTAAATTGAGTGAACAGAGATCAAGAGCTCCTAAAACATAGACAATGCAAAAAGCTAGAATACTTTGGACATGCAGCAAGAAATAAAAAGTACACTATTGTAACAACTAACCATTCAAGATAAAATAAGTGGGAAAAGAAATAGAGAAAGGATAAGAGATTATAGGCTGAAAAACCTTGCTGATTGATTGCATGCAAGCAAAATCACTGTTTAAAGCTGCTGCACCCAGTATCAGAATGGTCATCACAAGACTGCTTCTGTAGGAAATTGTCTACATGGCTGGGACTGAAACTTCACACAGGCCTTAGAAATAATTGTGGCACTATGGAACCAGTTGGTAACTGGAAAGATGTCCTGGGAAAGATCTGTTTTTGGCACATAGTCCAGATTACAGCTGGGAATGTTCTTGCAAGGATACTATACTGCTTCTGCTTTTCAAGATACAATTCACATTAAGATAATAATTCCATTGTCACTATTCAAAAATATAATTTCACCAAAAGACGGCCAATTTCTGCCATTTCATTTGAGGACCTGACCTCCATGACAGGAGTACTCTTACCAGGGATATGTTCGCCACCGTAAGTTATGTTGACATCATAATCTCCAGGAACATATGGGATATATTCTGCACTACAACTGCCATCCTTGTTATCTGTACAGCTTATTTTAGACTCAGAAGGACCTTCAACTGTTATTCCAAGGCCTCCAATTCCAGCCCCCCTGCAACCACAAAGAGGACAGTTAGTATGTCTACATGGCTAACAATGTTTTACTTTCAAGCTTAACGATTTAATTTTATAGCTGCAACTAACTACATTTTCCAAAGTAGCAGTATTCTATTCTATTAGGCACTGTGGATAAAAATCCAATAATACAGGTAGAGCTTAGTTTTGACTGACTAAAGATTTCTACAGTAGTCAATCTGATTTAGCTTGGGGTATGCTGTAATCATCAGCAAGAACATTAGCTGGCAGCCGTGTGAACCACTTATAAAGGAGATCTGGGAAAAGCCGTGAAGAATCAAGCCTCGAGTTCGAGGTCTGTGGGTGGGCTTGTCAGGAACTGTAAAAAAACTATCATGCCAATGATTAAGCTTGCAGCAGTGCCAAGGGCCACTCTGAGGTGCTTTTGAGTCATTTTGTCTTGCGTTTGTGGCATATTCTCATTAGACAGCTACTTTGGAAGAAAGGAGTGGCAAGCATACCTGGAATTCCCCTTCTTGCACCTAGTCAACTGCTTGCAGAATTATTATAAATGTGTGCACACCCACCCCACATCTTATGGCTTCATTTCCCACATGGCTATATCAAGATCATGATATTTACCGAGTGACTACAGTGAATGGATTGGGTTTATTTGTGTAGGCTTCTTGTAGTCCAGGACCTTCGGCCACCACACGTGAAGGGTGGCATCCTTCCTTGACATCCACTTTGAAAGGACTGTTCAACACAGGAACATCATCATAGGTAACTTCCACAGTATGAGGGCCTTTAAAGGATAGATAAATAATCAGATTTGGGCTCTACGAAACTTTTAGCTTTCAGAGTTACACATGGAATACAATAGTCTTCCTGCTTCAAAGAACAGAGGTCCTAGTAATCTTGGGAAGTTATCTCTTGCTAGTAATCAATTCTAAAGGGGAGGATACAGATTTAAGCACCAGTATTTGCTGCAGAACCCCAAGGGTATTCTCTGTGTTCTAAAATAAGCCTGACTCCTAAATTTCCACCATAAAATACAAAACGGAGTTGCTTAATAAAATCTGTTCCTCCAGCCCATTTACCCAAGTCAACAGCTGCTGATATTTACCTCTTTCATATGGCGTGAACTCTACTGCATATGTCCCATCAGCATTGTCTTTGATGAGGCAATCTGTGGAAGCTCCAGAGGGATTTGAAATCTGAGCTTTGATATGGTCTCCACCAGTTTTGGTCAAGGGCGTAGCGTCTACAGTGAAATCTGTTGTTGCTTCACGGAAGACATCTACAAAATTAAGAGTTCAATCATTTCAAGGGGGTTTCAGCCTGCTGCAGCAAAACAAAGGACAGGTCTTGTGGTAGCGTGAGTATTGTAACATTAAAAGCTTTCAGGCACTACAGCTTACTTAAAATGTCATGGGATACAGCACACAAAAAGGTATGCTAGATGAAGCTTGTCAGTCTTTAAGGGAGCCACAAGAATCTTTGTTGTTTTTAGAATGTAGGCCGTTTCACTTGAACTACCCATGCTTTCCACCCACATAGCAGTCTTTTAACAGAAGTGAGTTCAACCTTTCACATACAGTCACTGTGCTAGAGAGAACCAGATAGTACAAGGCAAATATAACCCACCCACACACTTATCCCGGCCAGGTTCCCCACCCATCCATACACTTTCCCTCAGAATGGCTCATCCAGTGACTGTCATCAAGGTGCTTTCTCAGCCGTTCCCAAGTCCACAGAAACAGGAAGAAGTCTGTGCAACCAAGAATTACACACAGTATAAGCTGACAGAAGTAGACCTAATCAAGTGCTCCTTTCATTTACATACGCAGCAACAATCTCTTCCAGTTAGGTTCACTCTCATGCATCTGATAGAAAACTAAAAACAGACCCACCTTTCCCCTCAATTCCTGGCCCAAACACTTGGATTTTGCTTGTGTCTACAGCAGGATCCACTTTGACGCGTGCAGGAAAGTTTGGTACTGGTTCGTCATCATATTTCATCTTGAGTGTGTACATCCCAGCAGAAAGCGGCACGTATGTAACTGCATAGGTCCCATTTTTATTATCTTGAATCTCAACATCAGCTTTAGATCCAGAATCTGAAACTGCTTCCATATTCAACTTCCCAGGTCCTGCTTCTGAACAATCCACATTTAGTAATCCAGCTTCACCTACTTTCCCACGTTCGAGTCCAGGGCCTGTGGCAACTACTTTTGAAGCATCAAATGGCATTTCAATGTCTGCTCTGAAAGGAGAGCCAGGAATATGGACCTCTTCAAAAAGGATATTCACAAGGTATTCGCCCGGCTTTGTGGGCAGGTAGGAGACTGAACATGTTCCATCACCATTATCAGAGCATTCTATCTTGGCTTCACAGGGCCCTTCGACTGTCAGGCCCAGACCACCCGTTCCAGCTCCTTTGGTATCTATTGTGAATTCTGCAGGCTTCCCAACAAGGCCTCCATGAAGGCCTGGACCATGGGCTCTCACCTTGGAAAGACGAGTAAAAAGTGCTGAATTAAATATTTGTCCAATACATCAAGGGCTGGCAACCAAGTACTCTCCAGAGCTTTAGAGGATCAGTTTCCATAAGATTCAGCAAGCATGACTGATTTGTCTTGGATTTTAATTCTTGCCCAAGCCTCCTAAAGCAGCCATTCTCAATAAGGGTCACATGGCCCCTAGGGGGCCATGACAGATTTGAAGGGGGACACAGACTGAAAAATGTGAGAAGTTTCTGATAGATATCTGTTTGTGCTGTACCCTTGTTTGACGGGGGGGGGGACCTGAGAAGAGCTCCTAAAAGGGCTGTGCCCCCCCCAAAAGTTGAGAATGATTGTTCTAAAGGATTGCCTATCTCTGCAATAAGGATTCAATCTACTATCAAATCTGAAGTTTAGCTAGATAGCCTTAAATTCAACACATGAGAAACAAATACATCTATGTACTGTGTATTGAAGGCACATTTGCACAAATCGCCAAGGTGTCAATCTCAATAAACTATTTTTATTTTCATAACTAACACAATTATTGCATAATACTTGGCCTAAACAGCATATTGCCATGCTTCATTAACTTGATTCTCATTAGTCTAATTGGTTTTGAAAGCAAAGGGACTTGAATGGATCAGCACAAACAACGGAAACAAAAGCTATGGTACTCAAATGCAATTTATTGTGATTTTCTTTTTTACAATCCCATCATTTTTTTCAACTGAGACTGTGCAAAAAGGGCTTTTTAGACATGACAGCTACTATAATGCTCAACACGCATGAACACAGCACACAGGTTTAAGCTTATGGCATGATATACCTCAATAAGATTACTGCGCAACCACAACAAATCAAGAAGTCTTCTTAGCATGCAAATTGTGAACCTATTAAATAGTATGAAAACTACTGTCCACTTCTAAAGTTTCTGGATTGTGATAGCAAATAGTTCAGGTGGAATCTCAAAATTCCTTCTGGGCAAAGCCAGAAGCACTTCACCAGAAATTTGAAAATTTATGAACTTAAGCCATATTCTCCTCTGCAAAAACCATACACTATAGAACAGGCTAGATTTATTATTATAAGATTATGCCCTGAACAGAATTCTGCACTGGCACAATTCTAGAAGTGCCCAGAACATGTCACATAGTTTCTATGCTATTCTATAAAAAGTGAACCTCTGAAGCACTATAAGGCTCATGAAAAATATCTCAGCTCCTTAAGCAATGAAAACGTCAGTTTCTTACACACCCACATATACAGAGATTAGCAGGATCCTTACCTTGGTAGGATCCGGTGGCAGAGTGGCTTCCACAGTATAAGGACTTCCTGGAACTGGATGCCCATCGTAATTTACATCAACCACATGAACGCCTTCTTCCCTTGGGATATATTTTGCAGTGCAACACTCCTTGCCTGCTATTGGTTCTACTAAGCATGGCACAACTTTTCTAGTTGGGCTGAAGATCGACACATCGAGTTCACCCTGTCCACCAGCTCCTTTTGTGTCTATCAGAAATTCCTGGTCCTTTCCTACTTCAACTCCTTGAGAAAGTAAACAGAGGTATTGAAATGTCACTGACTGTAGGTCCTAATTCAGAATTTACACTGGTGATCAATAAAATTAGTATTTGCTCATATCTACTGTCATAAAATTAGGTTTCTAATCAGTTCACTATTGTCTGGATAACGTTGGTTCAGTTATAGCTACTGAACTCTAGATTCCTAGCTTGATACCTAAGAACTCTACAAGATCTTGAATCTAAATTCAAAAATCGTGCCTAAATGCTACCATGTCACACTTTTTTAAAAAAAGGTTCATGGCATGGATCCAAACCAGAAACTAAATTTTGCCCACAGAATCGTCTTCCCCACCTCTCATCATCATTTATTTGTATGCTTATTCGTAACCAAATGTTTGGGTAGGTGATTTTAGATGGACATGTTTTTAATACAACACTGGCTGAGGTTTTACTTATACTAAGGATGTTATTAACTGGAAAGAAGGGGTTGTTTTATCACGTTTTAATGGAATTTTATTACCCTGACTGACTTTACGAAACTATAATTATATATATCTATTTTATATTGATTTGATTTTACTGGTCTTTGACCGTAATAAAGTATTCATTCATTCATATTTGTATGCTGCCTCTCAGGTCTGGTGTCTCAAAACATTTTAAACCCACAACATTCATTAAAATTAGCTGGCTGGATAGGTCGGTGGTTTAGATATCTGGCTGTGGAGCCTGTGGAGTCCCAATGTGCTTCCCAGAAGATCTAGCCTGCGTAGCCTTGGGCAAATTGCACAGTTCCAGGTCACCCCAGAAGAAGAGAATGGTCAACCACTTCTATGTATTTTCTACCTTAAAAAAACTGGAAAGGGTCACCATAAGTCACAATTGGCTTGATAGCACACCATCATCATCATCATCATTGCTGTATAAATCACAAGTGATGAAATAAGCACCTCCCTTGAAAAGGGATTCATAAGAAACGAGTGCAGAACGTAGTGCAGCACATAGAGTGAAGCTGGTGAAAACTCTGCATTCTGTGCAATGTCCCTTTGGATCCAGCCATACATTTATAGAAAGAAAAACTCCACAGAACTTTGATCGGATGTATTTTTGACCAGTAGCTTAGCCTGCATGGACTCCCTAGTGATTAATGGATGTAACCTAGGAAAACATTCACACCTGACACTATTTTACCCTTATAGCTCCATATTTGAGGCACTCAATGGGCCTTGTCTGAAGAGCAGTATTAGGGCAAAGTTGAGCCTTAAGGCTACAACTTGCACCTCACCACCAGAACAAGCAGAAGCTACTCACCCAAAACAGGCTGCTCCTAGCAGAGACTTCCCAACTCCAGTTGGACAGCAGCCCATATATTATCATGCCACACTCAAAATCTGTCAATTTAGCAGGGCCAGAAATGCCAGACAAACCCATAAACTTTATTACCGCTATTTGGAGGCCTACTGTCCTTTTAACTGCCTTGTTGGAGCTGATTTATCTTGCAGATGTAGTCAGTTTCTCATTTGTTACTTGATACACAATGCATCTGAAAAGAGTTACTTACTGTTTTCCAGACCATTAAGTTTAATTTTGCTCAGGTCAAGCGGAGCAGCTACAGCTACAGTGAAGGGGCTTCTTGGAATTGGATCCCCACCGTAAGTCACCAGAACGTTCATGTTGCCCTAAAACAGTTGAACAGAGTTTTACTTCCATTTCATATTTCAGCACCTGAGACAAGCTAAAAGGCACAGTATTCAGCTGTTGAGAATTCAACTATCTCTTGAAATAATCACGGCTCTTTCCAAAGATCTAGACTGGCAAAGCCTTGCTTCAATCTCCAGTTGTATGACAATCCATGTGAGCACAATTATAGAAGTAATCGATAGCAGAAATCCAAACACAGAGCAAAATGAGCTTTTAGAAACGGCACACTGAACACAAAATACTACCATGCTTTGTAACTTTTAGGTTGTTCTAATGTGCTTCAAGTCAAAACCCATACCATGCTCTCTTCCTATGAAATCATTTATGCACCCTCCAGTTTCACTGTCACTCCCTGCAGGATGAGTTGCACTATTTGGTTCAACTTCAGACCAAGACTATTTTGACACCCATTCGTTGTTACTATGGAATTTGGGCAAAATCCTATTGTGTAACTTTGTGCAATGTATACTGGATCTGGGCCCAGGAAGCACTTAATTTAAAGCTTTCTCTCTCCACTGCATTACAGCTCCCTAGGGCTTCCTTCTGCCCTGGGAAAACCACTGGGAGCCTTGGAGTGGTGCAGGAAAGGGCTTTAAAAGGACAAGATGGCAGCCAGATCACTGCTGGCAGATCCTGTTCGAACTGTGCCAACAGGATTCTGCCCAATGATTTATTTTTAAAGACATGGCAAATTTTCCAGGGTCGGGGCTTGGGAGGGGACTTCAGCTGTAGAAAATTTTCTGCCCCTCATCACGGGGTGTATTAAAAGGTATTAAACCAAAATGCATTTTGAAAATTTCAAGCACCATTCTAGTCTAAAACAGTGACAAAATGAAGAAAACAAGTTCTAAAGAAACAAAGTGGGCATTCAACCGTTTGTGGAGTTTTTAACTGAAATTTAGGTATGCCAATTGTCATTGTGTGATGGGCCCAAAGTTGTCATTCACATGTGACACAAACAAAGCCACTCAAAATCCAGTGTGTGCTTCCACCTCACCATCAAAGCTGGCCAGGTCTGTCCCCTCTCCTCGACAACACAGCCTATCTACAACGTGCTTCTGGGTTCTCATCATTCACCCGGTTATTTTGCCTGCTGTGCTTTGAATGGCATCTATTAGGCCCACTTGAGACAGATGGATAAGCTCATTTAGGCTTGCTTCTGTATAGCAGATTAATTAGGTGCCAAGAAATGAGAAGCGTTTACTGCCTAGGAACTGCCAGGCAGCCGTCGACAATGTTCCCAATTGGGTGCACGAAAAATGCCTCCAGAATCCTTGGCTTTCCTTTGTTCCTTTTCCATGGAACACTCATAAATTTGAAGGCACAGAGTCTGGCTATAGAAAGGATACTTTGAAATGCAGATTTTTGTCAGCCAAGCAGCTCCTTGGGTAAGAGCCAAAGAAGCAGCGTAACATGTTAACTCCCTGTGACTAAGGTGCATATCGTGACAATTCAGGGACTTAATCCTTTGGATATGTTTTTTTGAGTATGGAAGTTAACGTTTTCACAGGGCTAGCAACCGCTTACTGTTTGATAGCTAGTATTTGTCACTGCTATACAGTATATACAGATCTGGCAGACAAAAGAGTTGCCTACAGTGTTTGCTCACTCCACCCCTTATTCAGCTGAACCTGCTCATTCCACCCTCCCTTCAGATTCCCTGTCAAATTAACATTAAAAAATACCCTTCAGATGTACACATGGTGCACTCTTCAAACAAGGCAACATTGCTAAGCAGTGCCACCACCTACTATAAACTTTTACTCCCTGGCAAGATGCCGTTGCTCCGTTTCCTGAGTTTATCTCTGCTGCCTTTCCATGAACTGGAATGCCAAGGCCAAGGAACATACAGGAAAACCACTAGCTATATTCAGGATTCTACCATTCCAGACTGCAGGAAGCTCATAATTGTTGATATTACCAACACAGAAGAATGTCCCTGCGTGGTGTAAATTAATATATCAGGGAGCAGAATCTAATGTAGCCTTCTACCAGATATGCTGGTTTATGAGAGGACAGGGAGCTTTTCATATGGGGAAATGTTTAAGAAATAAGGCCTCAGCTGCATTGTTACAATCCATAATTGCAGAATGTGTAAAATGGTTTAATTGTCATTGGTATATATCCTGGACCAGATTAGGTTAGGGAAAAATATTAATACTTTCTGAAGAGGAAGGCAGCCAGGAATGGCTAACAGCCTCCCAAAGGACATACTTGACAAAGTCAACCCTACCTCTATTAAGCCAGTTTCTCAAGATACAGAGCCCACACTTGCAAAACTGCTGGAGTACAGTACACAGCACCACTGTTTTAGAAGCCATAAAGTTCTTTTCCACTTAGACCAGCCAGTATTCCCAAGAAGCATGCCAGATTAAAAAAACAACATCAGAGCTTCTACTACCAAGATCCAACCAAAGCAAATCCATCTACAGAAGCCAGGGTTACTCTTCAATTTGAACATCCAAAATTTGCTCAGGTCACCCAAATACTAGCTGGATCAAACACCATGAAAACGTACACATTTTACGGCATGAGACCACCTCTGACAGTAGAGGAGCATCAGTCACACAGTGCCACAGCATAGAAGCCTGAAGATTAGAAGAGTTATATGAGGATGTCTGGAATCTGGTCCAAAACGCCTTGTTGATTTTCACTTTGCTGTTTGCACGAAAGATACATCCAAGGGCCAACAGCAACATCAGTCGCCAAATACACAGCCATCAGCAACCAGGCGTTAACTCCCAGGAGCAACGACGGACAGAGTTTGGAATACTGGACAGCGACAACAACACAGCATTGGGAACATGTCCAATCCAAACTTTTTAGTCAGTCAGGAAGCTGGCATATGCTTGCTCTCCACAATGTTTTCAACAAGCATTGCTATTATCAGCAACATAATGCAGAATTTAGGACCGTTTCATTTGCCACAACAGCCACTATTATAAAATACAAATACCTTGTGTTATGCTCGCTGCTACAAGTGAAAGGGAAAACCCACTACCAAGAAGTGCTTACCTGCTGTACTGGAGTATATCTTACAGTTTGAGAGTAATCATAGTTGTCAATGATATCCACATCTTTGACAACTTCTCCTGCCGTTGGCCCACTGAACTGGGCGTCGAGAAGAGCTTTCCCAGCACCTTTTGTGAAAACAGTGAAGTGTGTAGGCTTCCCATTTTCCACACCTAAGGAGAAAAAGGAGTGGGGTGGAATTCATCATTATCATCCTTAGGTGTGCCGAAGAATAAGATGCACCGTGCTCTTATCAACAAAATGTTGAAACCAGACAAGTAACAGGCATAACCTTTCATGCCCCAGGTTTAATCATCTACTACTACCCAGGTAAATAAAAATCAAAATTATTTAAATCATTATTTCAATGGAATAAAAAAATATAATTCAATTTGTCAAAAAAACCTCCATTTTTTAAAATTTAAATTGCGATTTAAATCAAATCCACCCTGACTGCTACTACTACTTCACACAATGTAGACCAGCAAATAGCTGGACAGCTTTTTTTATTTCTGCATACCTACTTAGCGAAAATCTTACCAGTTCTACTCAGGCCAGGCCCTTCAGCTTTCACCTTGCTTGCGTCATGTGAGGGCTCCACTTTCACTCTGAAAGGGCTGGTGGGGATTTCCTTTAAAAGCATAAATCTTTTTAGTGCAAGTAGTTGTTCAACAGCAATATGACTGCCACAATTTTTTTAAACTTAAGGGTAAGCATATTAGATTTCATCTTACTCAGATACATTCACAGACAGAAAAAGGGAGAGAGTGCGCCAATGTTCAGAAGCTGCTTCTCAGCAGCTTGCAGTTGGCACTAATGTACAGCAGCATTATATATATATATGTGCTGCTTTTCATTTTTCATTGTGGGCAGTCACCCCAAGTGAATCTCAAAATGAATCATGAAATAAAGCCAACACATGCAGGACACAATAGTTACAGTAGGGTAGGATCACCGGTCCCTCAACCCTTCCCCCACTAATGACTTACCTCTCCAGCAAACAACACTTTGACAGTGTAGCGTCCAGCAGCAGGCGGTGTGTATTTCACTGTGAAGGTATCATTAGCATTATGTATGATGCCAAAGTCTATGTCTTGCTCTTCTTCACTTATTACATGAGCATCACATTTGATGCCAACACTGACATCACCTTTAAAGAAAGAGCAACAACTTTTTTTATTTCTCCTGCACGGGCTCCCAGATCTGTGAAATGTACTCCCTCCTCCCTCGAAGTGATGAACAGCTTCCACTCCTAACCACTTTTAGGACAGATGGGAAGAGTCATCTTTTCAAGTGGGTTTATAATACTGTTTAGTTTATGATGATGATTTTGACTCCTTGAAGATACAAATAGTTTTGATATTTTGTTGTTGTTCTGCTTGGTTTTATTTGATCTTAATTACTGGCACTGTATTTTTTTTTTTAAAAAAAAGTCCTGCTGTGTAAGTTTCACCTGTGGAAGGGTGACGATGCCACCAACAGGGCAGATTTTCTAGCTCATTTTCCTAGGTTACTTTAGACTGGGAATGTTAGAATGTCTTGAGACCTATGTCTCAAGTCCAAGTGAGAGTCCCGGGGCCAAAGTCCAAGTCGCGATTCACCTGCCGCCTCCCCCCCCCCACTCGGCCACTGAAGCCTGGGACTCGGGACTTGGTACCAAAGGCTTGGGCCTCCTGCTGCCTGTGCCCCCACTGCCATCAAGCCACCTGATGATGATGATGACGCCTCCAGGAGCCAGGCCACTGCCTCTCCTGAACACACGTGCTGACCAGCTGACAGGCCAGTCTTTCTGAAGCAGGAGGAAGGTAGAGGACCTTTCAGAGTGATGTTCTAGCCTCCTGAACTCCAAAGGCAGGTGCTCCCACCCGCCTCTTCCTGTAAGTCACCCTGGTGACGCTCTATGGCAGGCTAGAGCATCACCGGGACAACTTACAGGAAGAGGTGGACCAGAGGACCTGCCCATTGCCTATGGCAGGCTTTTTGAACTGCAACTCCCAGAAACTCCAGCCAGCACAGTTGGTGGTGAAGGCTTCTGGGAGTTGCAGTCCAAAACTCCTGAATAACCTAAGGTTAAGAACCAGTGGACCAGAGGACCTGCCCATTGCCTATAGCAGGTTAGAGCATCACCACCATCTAATGGGCTACGTTTGAAGATGGCAGTGGCAACAGCAAGCAGGCCGGCGGGGTTGTGTGTGATAGGAATTTGACAGACAGGAGTTGCAAGTAGCACCAAAATCCCCAAGTCAAGCAAGTCAAATCACAGGTGCAGCTGAAGTCCAACTCAATAGCGAGCCGCGAGCCCCCATTCCTGTTTTAAACTGGGGCTTCTCTACCTTGCAAGCAATACATTTTGTTGCATGGAAGCTGTGAGACTTGGGGAAAGAGTCTTTCATTACTGAAAATCTCCACAGTTAAAGGCATTCTAGTAGGGAGTTTCTCAGTAATTAAGGACTTGCTTTTTCCACACAAACAGATTATAGATGAGTCGGGAAAGTGACTGGACTGAAGTCTTAAATTACGGAAAATCTTCCCCTGTGAGAGAAATTACTCTCTTCTGCAGGCATAAATCATGCAATAAGATTTTGGTTATTCTATAGTTTAAATTGTTTTTATTGTTCTTTTCTTTTATGATGAATGTAAGCCACCTTCAATGCTACTTAGTGGAGAGGAAAGGCAAAAATGCAATAAAGAGTAATTTCAAACTGCTTTCTTAAATCACCCGTTGCTACTTAAGCATTTATCTAGTTAACAGACAAAAGCTTTGTAAATCATTTCTATTGGAAAACACAACTTTCTAAAAGAACAGGTCTATGGGAGTCAAGTGTTCCCCTTTAATAGCAAGTAAGATTTAGTTTCCTAATACATTTTGTCCAAAGTCAACCCTGCTGTGCTCAAGTATTTTTACCTTCTCCTGCTTCTGTACAGTCTACCGTGAAGTGAGTAGGTTCATTGGCTTTCAGACCAGTTCTCTCTATTCCTGGCCCAATGACTTTCACCTTGTGGGGATGACTGCCTTGTCCAATGTGGACCTAGGTGGAACATACATTTCAAAAGTTAATTTGACAAAGGGATGTTTCATTCAATGATACTGTTAACTGCATTTAGTTTTCTATGGTTATAACTCCTCTCAGCTTCATTTCACTAACACCAGGATTCAATATCTGCTTAAAGTAGCACTACCACGTACCAGTTAATATAAGGAAAGTCATGTTAGCCACCAATACATACCCTGTAAGGGCTATTGGGCACATTAGCTCCTCCCCATGTAACAGCAATAGTATGCTTGATGGGTTTCGTTGGGATGTATGAGCAGGCATAGATACCCTCTGGCTTGTTCTTCATTTGAATATCAATAGGATTTCCATCCCCATCCTGGAAAGAAAGGGCATGCAGACTCGCTTAATATATTAGTAACAAACTAACAGGTTTGGATCCTTAACACCATTACTTTATTACAACAGCCACCCAACGATGAAACCACATTGTTCAAAAAGAGATCGTTTAATGGGAATTTATCAGGTACATTGTGCTACAAGTTCCATTTGGAGAATACCTGGATGAGAAAAGATGTTAACATATAAGCTGAAGGCTCGGTGATTGGCATTCCTTTATAGAAAACCCAACCACTTTGCTCCGACAAGAATATCCTCCTCTATCTGCCCATCTCGCCACCTAAAGAGCTACCAACCACCATCTGCCCAATGGGAAGAATTCCAATAGAATGAGAGAGGCCTGCAATCATGGGCAGCAACTAGAGATGGAGGTTATGGGTTAACCACCACAGAGGTCATTTCTTTCATTTTCTTACTATTTTATGAGTCTACAATACAAAACCTCTGAAATACAAAAGAGCTGTGATTCCAAAAGGTGTATTTCGGGGGGGGGGGGGGTTATTTTGTTTTAAACCCCCCCCCCCACCCCGCTGTCCTCTAAAGATGCCGTCCACAGAGACTGGAGACTGGTGAAACATTAGGAAGAACAACCTTCAGAACATGGCCTAAGAGCCCCAAAAAACCCACAACAACCATTATTTTGTTCTGTTTGTGCCCGAAAAACCCACAACAACCATTGTTTTGTTTTGTTTGCATTTTTGGCTTTACCTGTGCATATATCTTCAAAGGAGCATTCCCAGCTTCTTTTGTGTCAACTGTAAACTCTGCAGGATTGTTGACAATGCAGCCAGTTCTCTCCAGCCCTGGACCATAGGCTTTTACCTAGGAAAGAATAACAAAAAAGGGGACAAATTGGAGAATAGCCAAGACACCTTTGGAGTACTAAACTGCTTCTTCTAGAGGCCCACTGCCTCTCTGACTGGGATAAAACTTACAAGGCACCGCCAAAAAGTAGTTTCCTATGTAATGTTTTTGGGAAATATCTCACAATGTGAACAAAGCACAAATGCTCGTAACTTGGAGCAATCCTCCAGAGGAGGAGCTTGTCCAGTACTGACCCTAATCTGTGATGTACACATATCTGCTATTGCCATGCCATAGATGAGGCTGAGGATATGAAAGGGAATCTTGTAGCAATGTTTTCCAATATGTGGCCTCTAATGTGGATTTCCTTCCACTGGACCTAAGTCCTGATCTTGTACGGATTCCAATGCTTCCAGTAGATTCTAACTAGTCCAAAAGGGGGTGCTGGATTCCAGTTTCCTAACTGGCAACCTGTCATATTCTTGCCTTGTCAGAATCAACGTCCAGGGAAGCTGGCTGGATGAAAGCCATGAAGGGGCTGTCTTGGATGTCTTCGTCATCACACATGATGTGGACAGCATATTCCCCAGGCTCCTTGGGCCAATACTTGACATCACATGAGCCATCATTTTGGTCATCACACTCAATTTTTGCTTGAGATGGACCTTCAATGGCAAAGCCTAATGGAAAAAAGCAAGCAAATAGCAGTAGTATTAGATGTGCCCATTTTCGGCTAGCTCAGTAATCCCCACAGGCAGTTTTATATGAGCTGGCTTCTCCTTATTTGCATTCGACAGAGAGAAATATTCTGCTCTAGCTCACTTACTGGGGTTCTGGCTGGATCGCAGGAGCAACACATTTCGTATTTTGCCAAGAACTGCTTCTCTTTGCATTATAGCACTAAAGCCTATTTGAAAGGCAGTATCCAGCATGAAATTAGGAGAATCAATCTCCATAAAAATGGGTCAGATGTTGTGGGAACAAAGGAAGGCTAATTGCCTTAGAACAAAGGAGTCAATAGTACGGATGTCCGAACCAGCGGAGCCTACAGGCAACGCCCTGAGAGCTCTTTTATTTACTTAGCATGATTACATAGTATGTTGTTAGAATTCACATAGGATACAAATGCTCTTTTATTTACTTAGCATGATTACATAGTATGTTGTTAGTATTCAGATAGGATACAAAATACCTAATCATAACCAGTATTGCCTGAAATAACCCTTTGATCTTATGCTCTACCTCTAAGCGAAAGGGCAGAATAAGGGGTTACTCCGCCTGCTAGCACCTGCCGCTTCCTGCCAGGAGTATATGCACCTCACTGGAACAGAATGCATCTACTACCTTTAAGCAGAAGTTTCCCACAAGATGTCCGTTACTAAGTTTTACCCAGCCTGGGATAAGAATATGGAATTGCCATTACCGCTATGCAAGTCAAGCATTTCTGCAACAGAGCAAGTCTACCTGGCATAGAGCTTATTCTGGCTACAGTCTCCAATAATTAACAGATTCCCATTCCCATTTTTGTGTTAACAAACCACTGTCACTTTGTCTATTGCCTGTGTCCTCACCTGTTTCTGAAGAAGTGAACTTTAATCCTCAAAAGCTCATGCAGAAATAAATCTGTTAGTCTTCTGTTTTTGTTGGGTTTTTTTGCTAATATTCTGGTTTCTCCACCCCCATCCTTTCCCTCCTTTAATTCTGCCAATGTGATAGGACAGATCTCTCTCGAACTTGTCTACTCCAGTTTCTAATAGAATGACTTTTGTCACATGATATAATAAGAAGACAAGTACATTGTCAAAGCACGCAGTGCAGTTGGCTAAATCCTTACCCAGGGATCCAACTTCTGGACCAATGGATTCTACCACAAAATCTGCAGATTTACCAACAACTCCTTCATGAAGACCTGGCCCCCAAGCTCTTACTTTCTGAGGTCCTGCTTCAGGACCTACTTGAACTTCAAAGGGACTATGGTAAAAGACAAAAAAAAACACCAAACAATAAAACAGGGTTAAGACAGGCAAATATGGGCTCAGGTAAAGTCACTGAAAGAAAAAAAAACAGCATTGTCCTCTGCGATTCCCCGGTTCCCCAGCAGATCCACCGAATCCAGTGCAGAGAACAATTTGTGGCTCCTATCCTTGCCTAGTTTCACTTGTTCTCAGTCCTCCTGCCAAAATCAGGAGGTAATTAGCAATAACATCAATGACTTCAGCAAAAAATAGGACTGAAGACTAGAACAGTCCCCACAGTATTTAATTATGCTGCTAGTTATGCCAATCTTAGCCTAGGTACAAAACAAATGAAACGACGGAAGACAGAATGCAACAGAGACACCTTGTCAAAATCAAGCCTCACCTATTAAGTTATACCATAACATTAATGGCACTGTGTGAAGATCTCATTCCCAGAGTCTTACTTTGTATGTGAGGTAATATTGGCAAATTGTTTTGTTTTAAGCAGCTGTAGCAGCACCTTTGACGGAGAATCCATATTCATAAGAATTTATTTGAAATGTTTCAACTCACCTTTTGGGGATGTTGTGGCCTCCCCATAAGATTGTGACCAAATATTTTCCTGGAGTTAGGGGGTAATATTCAAAGGCATATACACCATCCACAAATTCATTTTGTTTTACAAGCTCCTCCAAGCCCTCTGTAAAAATACGATAGCATTAGACTTTATTAGTTCCAAGCTAAATTCTGTAAGTTTGAGTTACTTTGTGCCTTCTAGTGTTGTAAGGTGAACTGCCAAGAATTAAGACATTCTTCTTCCTCAACCAAAAATAGCCTGTAAGAAGAAACTACCCAGAGTCGTGTAAGAAAGATGACATAAATATATCTAGAAAAGAATGAGTGAATGTGTTACACTACAATGCTTAATCCATTCCCCTGTGTTATTCCTTGGTCTGCAACATTATGTGTATCATATGTTAAAACAAGGAAAGCTTAAGCTTCCTCAGACCTCATGACCACAAGTATTTGCGGAATGCCTATTTGATTTAGTTTTCTTGAGATAGTCTAAATACACTGCAGTCTGTTGATATAGGCCCATTGTCTCTAGCACACAGTTGGCAATCCCTCATAGCCAATGCTCAAACACCATCTTGTAAACATTATTTTACATTTTGCAACAACCCTTCACAGTTCCTACCAATTTGTAAGAAGCTGAAGTGGATTGCCTTTTGTTTAACTTGTGACCCAGACAGCACCAAATACAATCTCTATTTCAAGACCTGTGTCTTAACAGCACAGTGTGCAACTCTATTACAAAACCCCCACATGTTGGAATATATCTTCTTAGAACATCATGTGCTACTAACTAATAACTAGTCACAATACTCTTTACTAATCTGTTACTTCGCTTTTAAACTGCCAGAAAATGACAACCATCCTCCCAAATTAAATCCCAAAACAACATTTTGCAGTAACAAATTTGTTACTTGTTACACACACAAAAATGTTGCTGTTGTGTGCTACAAAGTCACTTCTAAGTTATAGTGACCCTACAAAAACATTAATAGTCATTAAGCTAGTTTGCATAATTTTGCCTCTTTGTTATCTCCAAGAGCAATGTGTCGCAGGTAACATCACTGCCTGTAATGCATCACTTTGAAGATGTACATGGGAATATACAAAGGTGCTTGCCAATTAAGCAGGCCAATCAGTAAACCCCTATGCATTATGACTCTGCAAAATATACAGTAAAGCAGAGAAAAACCAGGGCTTCTCTCTACTTTTATAGGTTTCTATTCCAAGTTTCTACCAATGTGCATGATGCCAAATCCAAGATTGCTAGATTTCACTTGCTTGCCCAGTTCAGGGATATGTGGAAGCATTACTGTTTGGAAATTCAAAATGTTCACATTGATTGCATTAAAGGTTGCACCTTAAGGAAATTAACCATGGACACACTTTCGAGGCACTGAAGGGGCTCCTTGAAAGCAGGAAATTGAATATTCTGTGCAAATTCACCCATGAGCAAGGTTCCCTCTAAGGTGTGCATCTGCGTGAGTGCACACAACACTAACCCCCCCCACACACACACACAGCTTTCCTCCTCCTCCACCCCCACAGTGAGTGTTTCCAGCCCCTTTGGTTCTGGTCATAATGGGATCCTGCACAGGGGGGTGGAGTCATGCATGGGGCAGAGTTGCCTGAGAGGGGGCAGAGCCCCACCCAGCAGGGCTGAAAATTAGAGGGAACATTGCCCATGAGTTTCTGATTTTAGTTTTTAGAGGACTGTAAGTAAAGCCACTGGAAACAATTTTCAGTACAATAGAAAAGGATGTCATTGTCATTATAACTTATGTTGCTTGGGCAACACAGACAATATCCCCCTTTAGGATCCGGCCCAACTGCACGTCAAAGCAAAATTCAGTGTACAGCAACTTGAAGTACAAAATACAACTTGACTTCATCCAAGCTGCTTCTGGCCTTGAACTCCCAGAAAAACACCTAAATCTCTTTCATCTTGGAAAGCCCCTTTTTAAAAACTGAGAGCATCTTATTGTCCACAGCCCATGCTTTCTGATAACGTAACACCCATTTTCATTCTCTTCTTTCTGCAGAATATAGGAATATCAGCCTTGAAATAGATGGGCCAAGTACTATCCTGGCTATGGGCTTCCTCCTGTTTGCCATTGTCAGCTTTAGAGCAATAGTGTCAAGAGTTTAGTGTTATGACTGAAGACAGGTTTGCTTTTTTTTAAAAAAATCTGTACACAAGTTCCTACAGCTACCCTTCTCACCACAAGCCTAATAAACATATGCTTCTAAAAAGATAAGTCTAAGACTACAAAAGTCATTTCAACCCATTAGGAGAGTTGCAGAACCTTAAAAAAAAGGAAAGGAAAGGAAAGGAAAGCAAGGTGTGCTGCTTATATACTGCCCCATAGTGCTTCAAGCACTCTCTGGGGGGTTTACAAGTTAATTATGCAGGCTACACATTGCCCCCCCCCCATGAGCTGGGTAGTCAATTTACCAACCTCAGAAGGATAGAAGGCTGTGTGAACCTTGAACCGGCTACCTTGGATTGAGCCCCAGATTGTGAGCTGAGTTTTGGTTGCAGTACAGCAGTCTAACCACTGTGCCATGAGGCTCAAGTGACTAAAAAAAAACCCTGGTCACTTCATTCTCTTAGCCAGATTTATATTTTACTCTTGTGCAACTGAATACCCTTGTGGTGAGAGGAGGAGAGGAGCTCGATTTCACTTCTGGAGTTCCCCAGGAGGCAAAGTCAACACGCAGAGAGCAACACCAGAAAGCTGACTGATATATTTTAAGCCTTTTGCAAACTCCTCCAACCACGCCCGAAATCCCAAGCTGTGCAAAGGGAGCCGAATACTTACTTGGCCCTTTTATTGCAACATGGATATCTCCACTCCCTGCGGCTTTTGTATCAACCTTGAAGTCTGCGGTTTCTCTGATCCGAACTCCTTTGGGCTGGAGGCCTCTGCCACTGGCACGGCAGGCATTTGGATTGCAGGCTACAAGCAAATTGCAGACAGACATCAATGCAGCCTTTGATTCCTAGAGATATTTAACCTAACCAAGCCAGCCTGGAACAGCTTCTCCCATCTTGCTTTAAGATGGATGAGATTCTGTTTTATGAAATGCAAAACCTGAATGCCATTTTCTTGTGCAGAGGAGTAAGGCTCTGGCTGTCAAGGCATATTACACTAACATAAAATTAAGAACTGCCGTTGGGGGGGGGGGGGGGTTTACAGTCCTTTATTTTGTACACATACAAATCTGATTTCAAACTTACTAAATTCCAGTAAGTTTCTATCAGTATGATATCAGTTTCTGTAGCTCAAAGAAGTTTTCAGTTTGACAATAATAAAAAGTAGCTTGGGTAATTTATTATGCTTCAGACTTAGAGGGCCTTTTATGCTTCTCCCACCCCCCAAGCCATGTGTTCTTGAGCATGCATGCAAATGAAACCCTATAGTCTGAACCAAACATCCACAGTAAGCCTGAGGTTTGTGGACTGACTAGATGATGTAGAGGTTGGAATGAAAAATTTAATATAGGCACACTCAACTGCATTGTGGATTGCCGAGCACTGCTGTCCTGATCCTGCTATTGCCCCCATGTGCCATGCAGAACAGCAGGTGACACCACAAGTTCAAGAATGTGGTAGCCAGAAATGCTAAATTAGCAGACCAGAGACCCAGAAAAGCTCCCAGCAGAAGGACTTGAAATAAGCAAAAGAGCAGGTAGGAAAAGAAACTGATAAGCATGTGCATTATCACTACCCACACATAGAGAAACCAGGGAAATCACATTTTACTGAACACCCACCCCTCTGGGAAAGCAGGTCTGTATGCATGGGAAAGAAGTGCCACGTGCAATAAGGAACAGGCAACTCAGAGCCAAAGCAGATAAAACCAACAGCTCTGTATTCCCCCACCCCACCCCCGAAGAACAGTGGAGTAAATGCATGGGTCTCAATCTGGACTAGGGTTGGGGCAACTCAAGCCCTTTCCTATTGATTATGGTTTTTTTATGGTTTATTGTTTATGGTTTTGCAATACAAACAGCAGCAATGATGGCCTCGTTAAGAACTGGGACCTCAGAAGAGGGGAAAAAACCCTTATTCCCTACAATCCAGATCGGCTCCTTGCAGAGCTTGAAAACCCATTTTTTAAAAAAATAATGAGTATGAATAACATGCAGAGGCTTCTCACAGTTTAGGAATGATTGGAGGATGTTCTGGCAGGCAGGTCATTATTCTATCACTCTCACTTACAGATGACTTCAGCATCTCATTATATTCATCCTCCTTAAAGTAAGTTTCCAAGGCCTGCTCTACAAAGCTTGACAACATCTGCCAGCCGCATCAGCCATGTACCATCTGTTTTGACCCACAAAGTGAAAGACTACGGGAGGCAGACTGTGCACAGTCTCTTGCTGAGAGCCTATGTCTCACTACTCCTCTAATAAGGGTAACACACTTGAATAGGCTTGAACCCTGAAAGCCTCCTTGATGCAACTGTTGGCTCCCAATAGCTCAGCTCCATGCCCAGCTTGCTAGATCTGGCAACCACTTCCATAACATTTCCTCAGAGAGAAGAGGAGCTGCCTGACCACTGCCTTGCTCCAAACAGGGAGGGCAATTCCCTTCCCCCAACCAGTCCCCATTTACTACATTGCTCCACATTCATCTGCTCAGTAAAAAAAATCAAACAAACAAACAGGAATACAGCAGCAAGCCCAAGTTCAAATTCACGCCTCGTGCAAACATGTTCAGCAGTTTGTGGTTAAGCAATATGATTTCTTGCAAGACTGCTTGCAGGCAACCTGTAAACCTGCTTGCCACACTTTTGTACAATGCAGCCGTTTTTTGCTTCAAGAGAAATCCATCCGTCCTCCACCCCCATTTCCACCACCACCACCACCCCGCCAGTCAGCAAACCCATGATCACTCTGCACGCCCTCTTACCGACAGAGCTTGCTCAATTATGAAGCCAATAGCAGTGTAGTCCAACATCTCACAAACTGAGAGTAGCTCAGGAGAGGTGAGCAGAGTTCTGAAAGCACAGGAGCAGGCAAGGGTGGAATAGAAAGCCAAGTGTCAGTTCGGAAAGGGAGCGGGGAAATAAAGAGTTGTGACACAAAGTAAAGTGAACATAGTAGGTTTAAGAGAGAAAGCAAGGAAAAGCTCAAATCTAGACATGTCAAAGTAAAGAGCAACATGGCCATTTAGGACGGTAAATAAAACCCAGTTACTAGCTACTCCAGAGCAGCCATTCTCAATATGAAATAAATATAGGCTGAATCAGGATTGTATAAGTTATACAATGAACCATATAAGGTGGTGCTTTGAGACTTGTTTCCAGCCTGTGTCCCCCCCCTTCAAATGTGCCAGAGCCCCCGTTGAGAATGGCTGCTCTAGAAGATATTAATACAGTACTTACAGTTATTTCTTTTCAAACGTCTTCCAAAAAAAAAAAAAAGTAATTTAACTGCTTCATTTGAAGCCAGATGTCTAATTCACTTTTAAAAATGTTGTTGAAGTAAGACAGCAAGTGGGTATATATCTGCTCTTAACACATACCTTCACCAACAAGAATACTCCAAGGGCTTTTTGGGACATGTTCTCCAGCAAACACAACCCTAATGGTATGAGGACCAGGTTGAAGAGGCTTATACACACAACGGTACACTTGATTTCCTTTGTCTTCTACTGCAACTTCAGCAATATTCTTCCCCTGAGGATCTTCAACATCTACACCAATATCACCAACGCCCGCTCCTAGGAAGCAGCAAAAATATAAGCTCATTATGTGGCTCTCACCAGTCATTCACTATTCTGGCCGGCAACCATCCAAATTTAGCAGGGGTGAGGGAAGCACACAGTTGAGAAACACTAGGGCATCAGGAAAGGAGAGCTGATATAGAAGTTCATTCTTCTGGTAAGATACAACCTTACCGTCCAGTGTGTGGCTTACTTATCCCAACAAGAAGTTGTAAACAGTAATGTACGTGTCTGAGCCTATGAAGCAGAGGCTGAAATCCTGTTCCTTACCACTATTAAGTCTCAATTTAGAGTAGGCCGGCTTGATTCAATAGAGCTTAATCACCAAATTCCCAGAGATTCATTGGCCCTACTCTAGTGCAACTTGCTACACTAAACAAAAGAACTTCAGCCAGAGACTAGGAAGAACACAAGATCTATAATCTGATCAGCAGAATTAATAATATAAAAAATAATTGTGTGCTGTCAAGTCTGACTTATGGAGGCCCTTTTCAGAGTTTTCTAAGCAGAAAGCAGTCGGAAATGGTTCACCACTCCCTTCTTCTGGGGGCATCCTGGGACTGTGTAGCTTGCCCAAGACCACAGAAGCCGGCTGTTGTGGGATGCAGAGTGGGGACTGGAATCAAACTCCCAACTTCTGGCTAAGCAGCCAGATACCTAACTCATTGAACTATTCAGCCAGCCATTTGTGGACATTACACCAAATGCACACCTGACATTTAGGCCGCAAAAGCTAGGTTTTTCCTTCCATTTAGCAAGGTCTTGGCAGTTTTCCAGGAAACACTCCTAGACTCATTTAGGTTGTGGTTTACTGGTTTTCCTACCCAAATGTATTTAAGCAATTTTGGTTTTGCAATTCAGTCAAACAAGACTTGCATCCCCTGTTAAGAAATTCCTAGTAATGTTTAGCAAACAAAAGGTGATTGCAAATTACGTTTCTATGCAAAGCCAAATTCACAACTAGTAATTAAGCAAGCACCATTCTTAAGTGGTTGGTAAGAACACAGAAGGCTGATTACCTAGGAACAAGTCTAATGAACATAAATAACAGCAGGCTAGAAAAAGCCAGTAGACAGAATGGTTAAGGGATACCAGAAACTATAGTACAAAAGACATTTTTCCCAAGCTCTGAAATCCCTCCAGCAAACACATGATGATCACCCTGCACACACTCCTTAATGATAGAACTTGCCCAACTATAAAAGCCAACAGCTGTGGAGCTGCGGTTAAAAGAAAAATAACAGAGCAACATTTCCAAGCTGTAAGTAGGAAAATCTGTACTGATCTGGATTACTGTACATGCATGCCACCCACAACATGTACTCCATGAAAACAATCACCCTTTCTTCCTGACTGACCATTAGAAAAGGGAATATATTTTTTCCACTGATGCACATGGTGTGAGTGAAAGGATGAACCTTCCAAGGTCCACTGTATACTTTATATGTCATCATAGGGAAGGACCACTCCAAAAACCACTGGCCCCATTTAGAACACATGGTGCAACAAATATTATTCTACCCTCTTTCCACATGAATTCTCATGGACAATGAAAAGGAGTGTTGGAATAAAGCGAACTGTTTACACATCCTGTGGTCACTCAGTGTCCATTAGATACTTAAGGGATTGTCTTGAAGTGAAAATTGCACAGGGTTGAAGGTAAACTATTCTAGACTCCTATACCTAACAGACCCCAGCCTATACAAAAACAAGGGTAGGAGAATTTTCTATGTGTCATTCTAGTGTAAGATACTTGGGCCCTAACAAAAGATTTAAAACATGCTATTAATGCAGCAACCCTAGTGCTTCGAGGGATAAAGCAAAAGCTTAAAGAATGGAAGAAGCTGCAACTCGCATTATCAGGCAGATTAGCAACAATAAAAATGTTTGCTAGGCCCAAGTTATTTTTCCCAATCTACCCAGGCCCTGGCACTCTGGGAATGTCAAACAGATAACAAAAAATGATAAATCTTTTTATACATTGGGTGAGTGGGGGAGCCAGGAGTGACAAATGCCATACAATATCCTCTGGCACCACAAGGTGGTACCACAATTCCTATATCACTATTTTTTCCACATTAAGGAAGTAGTCCTGATAATTAAGAGATGATAGCTTAGCAGCATGGATTCAAATGGAACCAAATGCCTCCAACCCTATACAAGTGGCTTCTCTATTTTTGCCTATCCAAAAGAAGACTCTTGGAGAGGTGTACAATTCTCTATATGCAGAGACCCTCACCTTATGGTTAAAATGCTTACACCACTGCCTTCTCCCTTATGCTCCTCCCCCCTGCACACCCTGACTTTTATTCTACAGATAAAGTCCACCTTCTTGAAAACTGGAAAGCAAAGGGCATTTTCATGTCAGAATTGGGTTTTTTTAACCAAGGAAAATCTCTTAGTGAGCAACTACTAATAAAACTCCAAAGGCTTCAAACCAATTTGTTCTAAAACAATCAAGTTTCAACTTTTTTGAAAAATCTAAAAAAACCTGCCTTTGAACATCTCTGTGTAATGTCAACCAGGAATATAAAAGGTCAGGTCTCTAAGATCTACAATAAGTTGATAGATTCAGAATATAGCTAGTCAGCAAACTCTAAATAAGTATGACTTGCAACTAGGGAGGACCAAATTTTGGACTATTCCTCATTAGTCCTCCCTAGGTTTTAGAACAAAATCAGCAGTGTTACACTTCAAACACTCCACAGATGGCATCTTGTCTCTATCAAGGTGTCTAGATTTGTGTCAGAGTCTTCTTCACTTTCTTAGCGAGCATGTAGGGATAGAGGGACCGCAAGGAATATGTGAGTGGACTACCCCAAATGACAATTTCTATTATTACAAACCAAAGTATAAAGAAAAATAATGCTCTGTCAATCTTGTCTGCCTTTATTGAGGATAACCAATATTTACTGCTAGAGGATCTTATATCTCTGTTTGAAGCATCAGCAAGACAGGAGATAACATGGAGGTGGAAATCCCTGGATGGGCTCAGTATTGACACTTGGTTGAGCAGAGTCTGGCATGCCACCCTAACGGAGTAGCTTTTGAATACATACTCAGAAGACAAAAAGGCTTTGAACAAATGGATAAATTTATAACATTTTTTACTTCTTTTATTCAGTTCATAAAAGACAGTGCTCCAGTATATGGATCACCTGCTACACTCTGTCTGTGGAGATTTTTTTAAACTAGAGTGACAACATGATCAAATGAATCTGATAAATTATGCCACTTTTTTCTACTTGCCTCCTCAATGTTTTGAGTTTTTAAATAATATATTTCTTTAAAAGGGACTGGCTTAAAATTCATCCTATTTTACAACATACTGACACACAAACACATACTAGGCAAGGTTTTACAAGTGCGTCTCAACTTTGTTTCCAAAGCAACCTAGGGCGACAACAACATCTAGTCACAGAAAACTGCTATGAATTCAATTGATTGCCTGCTTGTTTTCCAGTTGGAAATGAAAACGCTAGACTCAGACCTCTATATCAGCAAGATGTTGGCTGAAATCCTGTTACTGTAACTCATACCACATATAGCTGCTGATGTCAGCAGCAGCAACATTTTTTTAAAATATTTTTTTGCAGCTGGAGATTCTCATATAATCCCTTTCCTTGCTGGGAAGCTTTAGGACACTTGGGATAGGAAACGTTTTTAATTTTCAAAATTCACTACCACCAGCAAAGTCATTCCAGCAGCTGCAATTTTTGGTTAATGAAAGGTTTCTCCCTCCAATCTGTGCTTCCCAGTTTCCCAAAGATAATACAGATTATGCTGAAGCCACAATACCTTCAGGAGAGAATTTGCTAGCATTTAATTTCTGAAAAATCACTACTGCTGATGACATCATCAGTCTTACACAGAGTAAGTTTCAGTAACAGGGCTTTTGCCATAAAACATGTTGTTGTTTCACTGAGTCAAAATATATATCACATGGTCTAAATAAAGGTATTGACAAGCAGTACTGTGGTAATGAACGTCAAGTCAATCTCTTAAGCACCTTGTGGGCATTGAGTGACCAACCTCATCAAGCATCACCTATGAAGCATTATTCCTACCCTCTATGCAAGCATTAGAAAAATTCTAGAGAGACAAAGACTGGGTAATTCAGAGAAGATCCTTAAACCTTGCTAAAGCTGCACAGTTCACAAGTGACACAATGAGAAAAAAAAATGCCTCCACCTTGTGTGTTCATCTTACCTGCTGTAAAAATGTCAAAGTAAGTGGGTTTATTGGCTATATTTCCAGTTCCTTCTAGGCCTGGCCCTTTTGCCGTTACTTTGCTTGCATCTCCCTGGGCCTTTTCAACATTAACTTCAAATGGGCTCTTTGAGATGTGCTGACCAGCGAACAGGACAGTAACCTGGGAAATGTAGTAACAATGGTCAAATAACATACTGTACCTAGAAACAGAAACCATGAATCAGTCTGTGTTTACTAGCACAGCGGGAAGAATTATGGACTGGCACACTGAAATTTGCAACTTAAAAGTCTCTCTTTTTGCCCCCACACCCAGTACTTGGCCTGCTACTGTCGTATGAACTGCAACAGCTGATAAATGCAAATCAGCTGCAAAGTTTCTGGCTCCTACTGAAGAAATGGAACAGAGGAGGCTGTGCTTCAGTGAATTTAAAAGTCCTTTTATTTCTAAGGCAGAAATAGGCTTGCATCAGGGGAGACAACTACCATATACACATATCCACCCGCTCAAAAAAAAAAGAATATTAATATATGTAATGTACTAAGAAGCCCTGATCTTTAAGACATTAGAGAAACACTGGAATTTGTTTATGCAGCCTACTTCAGCTGCCCCATTAGTTATCTCCCTTTGTAATTCCTTCTTTTTTTTTTACAATAACTATTTTCAAGCTATCACCCACATGTATGGTTACAATTTTAAGTCATTTTGATAGTTCCATTTAGATAGTCCCATTCTTGTAGGAATACACATAAATACAGATGGCACAATAAAAATACTCCATGTGTCTGAACAGAATTTTGATACACAAAAGCATACATGGAAACAAATCTGTTTAGTACTTAAGGTGCCACAAGATTTTACTTCACCACACCTACCCTCCCCCCACCACCACATTTTGAAAAAAGACTTCCAAGAATTCCTCTTTAGAGGAATTGTTACCTCAAATGTGCTGTCAAGCCATCCAGTAGGCTAGATCACACAAGATGGGAAAATCCTACGCATTTTATTTAAAACTAACTGAGAAGTGAAGTTTCAAGAGGCATACAGTTCTCCCCAAGACAGAAGCAAAAGAGCATGTGTCTGTAAACAGATAACTCAGCAACTTTTTGCTTTTGTGTAGCCACTGGGTTTTGCCTCCACCACATGTTTATCTGAACCGTTAGTCCAGCCAAACAGCTTTTCCAAGAAAGCATGCTCCACAGTCACAGTCAGGGAGGCTTGTCACTCCCAAATGCAACTATCATGGGCTAAGCCAAAATTTGGACAATGCCAGGAATAAATGCAACTGACATTTAGGTTTAATAGCTTGATTCTGAATCTCCTCGTCTTCTTACCTTATGAGGTCCCACAACCTTTGGCACGTACTGTACAGCATAGGTCTTGTTTTTGTCATTGTCAGGGGTCACTTTAGCCTAAGAAAGAGAAAAGGGTTAGAAAATCTTTCCAGTAAACATTTCTGATAGCTCATGTCAACATAAATTGGCTCTATATATTTGAGAAGTGTGGGTTTTGAAAAACTGCCATCCACAGCCGAATAGGCTTTCCACATTTAACCTCCTTGTCAGCTGATAGTAACATCTATGCAGCTAAGGACCTAAACAGATCCCTAATGTCTATTAGAATATTACAAAGGATGCCCCAAAACTAGCAGCTTATAAACAACCTAAACTGTCATCTTTCTCATTCCCAGTTTGGGTTTCTATTAATATTGTTGCTGCCTAGTTGCCTCAGACTTACGACAACCCTATGATGGCTGACCTCCAAAATGATGTGTCATTAACAGCCCTAATCAAGCTCTTGCAAACTCAAGGTTGTGGCTTCCTCTTCACGTTACCTCAGCAAATAGAGAGCTATTTAAGCAAAAAATCCCCTCTTGGCTACCCTTGAAATACCCAAGATCGTGGAAAAGAGCTGGCCAAAGAGAGCAACAACTCCAACAGAGACTCCTCTCTCTAAATCACCTACTACATGACTGTTTCAACTTCTGTTACCAGCAATGGAACCTCAGAGCTTCTCTCGGTACTTCATCCCCAAACTATGATTCATAGCCCTGGACTTATGCAAGCACAAATCATCATCCCAGGGGATTACGTTTATGTGCAAGAGAAGACTGAATGGTCAGTTGATTCCCTGTCCTCCCCAAGATCTCTCAACATGCAAACCTCTTCTCTGTTTCCTTCTGGATCTTCTACAAAAACCATGACTTCACCCTGGCCAGCACTGATAGTGTCTACCGTGAAGTTGGCAGGTTGCTTAACCATGTTTCCATGTGGCTCAATCCCTGAAAAACACAACAGCAATGTTTGGTAGCGTAAGACAGTCACCACATTATTAGCCATCACTATCAGCATCACATTTCAGCTCTCCTCGGTCTTAAAAGAGCTAGCAACTTCATAAACTCTAATCAATATTACCAACATCCACCTTCAGGAACTTTTTCAGGCTCCCTATTGTTTACAGTATTAAATCCACCTTCACATCCCACCCTTCAATGAGAAAAACACTAAAACCTATGTTTACAACATGTTCAAAATATACAAATGAGTTTGGGCAATGAGAACGTTCAAGAATATAGTGCAACAATACAACAGCGATACAAGAGACGAGCCTTGCTGAACTAGTTCTTTGGGTTTGAGAATTTATGGGAATATAGGAGTGGCTTCTGGACAATTTCCTCATTTCTGTGTTTCAGTGCTATGGCAAATGAATACAGTGGGGCTTGAAAGCTTCTCTACAAACAAGATCTGAATACACCAAGAATCAACCACTGTTTTGTTTTGTTTTGTTTTTAAAAACTTGCTTGTAAGCATATTGAATTGCAAAGTGGCAAGGAAAGAGTTTTAGAGATTACCTCTGCCATATGCTCTTGCCTTCTTTGGATTAAGTTTTGGTTTCAAAGGAGCACCCGGCTTCAGCTTGGCTTTGGGGAACTGTGACAGGTAGGTCATCACGGAGTGCTCATCCACGTTGGGATGTATGATCTCTTCAGGAGTGATGACCTAGTTTTAAAAAAAATAAGGAAAAAGTTAACCAAAATTAGAAATCATCACACACATTTCTTTGTACACTGGTATTATTGCACCAATGCAGCATGGCCTAGCTACTTTCTTAGGGGAATATATATATGGGCATAATTAATTTCCATTTTCAGTAAAAGCTAGGATCATGACATAGGAATCATTTGAGCAATCTGGGTGGGGATGGAACTCAACAAACTAGAAGAAGGAAGGGGTAAAGTAGCATTATCGTGTAAGTGAATCACATCCTTCAGAAAGAAAGTTTTTCAACCACCAGCCTGACACAGAGTTCACATCTTCTACAGCAAACAGGATTTGAACCGAACCCACGTCATCCTGTTCCTTGAACTAGTGACGTTCAGTACTATATCAGATATTGTTTCTGTTGAATATGTGAGACAGCAGTGACTGCTCTGCCACTATCACATGCTCAAGCATGCCTCTTTTTCGTACCTGAGGTACACCCAGCCAGTCATCTGCTTGCTGCATGGCTTCACGGGCATTATCAACAGGCTTCTTAGGGTCCCAGCTTTCCCAGTCCGGGCAGAGACCTAAGGGGTGGATCACAAAGGTTAAAACACCAGCCTTACAGAAGAAATTATAGTGAGCCAAGGAAGAATATGTCACATACAGTGGTGCCTCGCTAGACAATTGCCTCGTGGGATGAAAAACCGGCAAGACGATTGGTTTTTGCGATCACTATGGTGCCTCGCAAGACTTTTTTTCTATGACTGTGCTTCACAAGACGTATTTTTTTTAAAGACCGAGGCTTCGCAAGACATTTTTTTTTGAGACCATTGCTTCGCAAGACTTTTTGTTTTAGACCGATGCATAGGGAACCTCACAAAACTATTTTTTTGTTTTAGACCGATGCATAGGGAACATCACAAAACTATTTTTTTCACAAGACATCGATTTTTGCAGAACGAGTTAAAATTGTCTTGCGAGGCACCACTGTAATTATATCTTTAATCATCATAGAGACGAGTTAAAATATTTGTGAAGTAAAGCATAAGAAACAGCAGCAGTATTCCTAACTAAACAATTTCTCTCCAATCAGATATCCTTGGGCTAAACTCAACTGTTACACAACTAGAAGTAAACCACTAAATGTATGGGAGTAAGTCAACATTTATGTTAAGTCTCATTGATTGTGTTGGTCTACTCTCTATAGTCCATAGCATTCCAAAAGATATCACTTTTATTGTTCTATATATTTATTCAATTGAACTTAAACTTGACATTTAACAAAATTAAGCAGGACACTAAACTATAGGACAACAAATGTCACATTATTCCTAAATTTCAGAAACTTTTTCCAGAAGCCTTAGTAACTTTAGAAGGAATGAGCTAACTTCACATCAGACATCTGAAATGTGTAGCTTTCTAGGTTGTTTAGTTGTTAAGTCACGTCCGACTCTTCATGATCCCATGGACCAGAGCATGCCAGGTCCTCCTGTCTTCCACTGCCTCCCGGAGTTGGGTCAAATTCATGTGGGTAGCTTCAATGACACTGTCCAACCATCTCGTCCTCTGTCATCCCCTTCTCCTCTTGGATTCACACTTTCCCAACATCAGGGTCTCTTCCAGGGAGATTTCTCTTCTCATGAGATGGCCAAAGTATTGGAGTCTCAGCTTCAGGATCTGTCCTTCCAGTGAGCACTCAGAATTGATTTTCTTTAGAATGGAGAGGTTTGTTCTCCTTGCAGTCCAGGGAACTCTCAAGAGTCTCCTCCAGCACCACAATTCAAAAGCATCAATTCTTCAGTGGTCAGCTTTCTTTATGGTCCAGCTCTCACTTCCATAGATTTCTACTGGAAAAACCATAGCTCTGACTATGTGGACCGTTGTCGGCAAGGTGATGTCTCTACTTTTTAAGATGCTGTCTAGAAGCAGACATCTTTTGATTTCATGGCTGCTGTCACCATCTGAAGTGATCATGGAGTCCAAGAAAGTAAAATCTGTCACTGCTCCCATATCTTCCCCTTCTATTTGCCAGGAGGTGATGGGGCCAGTGGCCATGATCTTAGTTTTTTTGATGTTGAGCTTCAGACCATTTTTTGCACTCTCCTCTTTCACCCTCATTAAGAGGTTCTTCAATTCCTCCTCACTTTGTGCCATCAGAGTGGTATTATCTGCATATCGGAGGTTGTTGATATGAGCTTTCTAGGTACAGTTCGACTATTATTATTTGCTTTAACCTCAGTAAACCACCCAAAATAGTGCATGCATTAATGGGGTGGTATATAAATCTAAGAATAAAACAAATAAACCAACTACAACTTTCATCAGCCCTAGTCCAAAAATGAAGAATTCATGAAGAGCTACAGTGCAACAGCTGAGGGAGGGAGCACATATTTTTCATCCTTCCCTAAATAATCTTACTAACTACAGCAAGAAATTAAATCTAAAATAATCCCCTCACCCATTTGGAAGATAGACAGTAGCCTCTAACATGTGATAACTCTAGTATTAGAGCCTATTCCTTCAGAATTTATTTAGTTAAATTTCATTCATTTAAATTATTTTATGGTGCCTTTCTCCTTAAAAGGACCCTTTAGAATCCACACAATACTTCTTTTGTTAAAAACTGCTGCTCAATAACTAAGTGTGCATTTAGGAATCCTTATCTACACAAAAATGCTTATATACACGGCAACCTACTAGGCATTCAGCAATGCCTAAATGCTGCAGATTCCCTTAGTTTGAATCCTCTACTAAGGGTTCTTCTCCATTACAAAGTCATTCATACTACTGCTTCTTAAGTCAGCACAAGACTTTTCCTAGCAATTATTTTTTGTTTACATTGATAAGATAAACCATCAGTTACTATCATGGTGAGAAATAAAGGGGGAAATGACAAGAGACTTACCTGGAGCACAACTATCAACGAGGGCACCAAGGGCTTTCCCATCCTGCCAGTTTTGGTTAAAATTTGTTATTGGCAAATATGGGATTTTATTCTGAATCCATCCCAAGAGTCTCTGTTTTGGAGTCTGTTTCTTGGCATCATCATCTCCTTCATCTTCCCATACCGGCATAGAGATTGAATAATGGAGGATAAGTGTCCAAATTAATCCTAGGATCAGCTTTAAGTTTCCATCGACAATAGCTTTACTATCTGAAAACACAAAAGGAGAAAAACACAGTTACTAGTTGAACTGCAATTAAAAATCATATTTACTCAGCTATGGGATCGGGGTCAGTCAAGGGACAGGCTGGTCAAAAATACTGTCTTGGAAGATGGAGGCTGCTTGCAGGTGACAGAAGTGGAACACTGCTTGGTTTACCTGAAGGCTCCTCACTGCAGAGGTTGGTGCCTAGGCAGTCTGCTTGTTGACAAGGGTGGTCCCTAATTATGGAAAAGATGATGAGATCTTCTGCAGATCTAGGTGTCCAGGAGGTTGGAACTGAGAAAGTAAGGCCAACTCTCCTATCCATAATGAGAGGCCAATTTTTGAAGAGGGCTTCAGCAGCCATGCAGTTAGGCAAGGCCCCGCCCACAAGGTGGGGAGGAAAAAAATACGATAACTAAGGAAGAACAAACAGGGGAAACAAACTGGGAGAACAAAGCAGGAGAAAAGGGAAAAACAGAAGTCAACTATGAGGGAGAAATCAAGTACAGTAATGTGGGAAAAAGGAAAGTGAAAATAACAAGACGGGAGCTCAGTGAACATTCTGAGATGTGACCAGTCTGGCACACAAACAGGAACTGGTGGCATGTCTGCTAGGGCGCTCTATACAGTCATGGCCAAAAATATTGGCATCCTTGCAATTCTGTCAGAAAATGCAACCCTTCTCTCAGAAAACTGTTGCAGTTGCAAATGTTTTGGTACTCACATGTTCATTTCTTTTGTTTGCGTTGGAACAACACACAAAAAAAAACCAGAAGAAAAGTCAAATCTTATACAATCCCACACAGGAACCCAAAAATGTACTGGCCAAAATTATTGGCATCCTTAACTTAATATTCAGTCGCACCCCCTTTGGAAAAAATACAGTGGTGCCCCGCATAACGGCCGCCCCGTTTAACGACAAATCCGCATGGCGATGGCTTTTGCAATCGCATTGCGATGATTTAGGTAGTAAAAAATCTGTTAAGCTGTTTCGCTTACTGATATTCGCATAGCGATGTTTTTGGAACAGCTGATTGGTGGTTCCAAAATGGCCGCCGGGTAATTAAAATGGCCACCCGCTGTGTTTTTGTGCCCATTCCTTGCTTACCGGGCAGCGAAAATGGCGGCCGTATGGAGGATTTTCGCATAACGGTGAGTTTACAGCCCATAGGAACGCATTAAACGTGTTTTAATGCATTCCTATGGGCTTTTTTGTTCCGTATAGCGACGAATCCACAAAGCGACGATTTTCCCGGAACGGATTGTCGTCGCTATGTGGGGCACCACTGTAACTGAAATCAATTGCTTCCTATGAACATGAATGAGTTTCTTACACCTCTGGAATTTTGGACCACTGTTCTTTTGCAAACTGCTCCAGGGCCTTCAGATTTGAAGGATGCCTTCTCCCAACTGCTGTTGAGATCTCTCCACAGGTGTTCTATGGGATTCAGATTTGGACTCAATGCTAGCCATTTCAGAACTCTCCAGCGCTTTGTTTGTAATCATTTCTGAGTGTTTTTAAAAGTGTGTTTCGGGTCATTGTCCTGCTGGAAGATCCATGACCTCTGGTGCAGACGCAGCTTTCTGACACTGGCCACTACGTTGCGTCCCAAATTTCTTTGGTAATCATCGGATTTCAAGATACCATTCACACAGTCAAGGCATCCAGTGCCAGAAGCAGCAAAGCAACCCCAAAACATATTTGAACCATCATGGTTAACTATAGGGACTGTGTTCTTTTCTTTGAATGTCTCATTTCTTTTTCTGTAAACAGTGCCATGATGTCCTTGACCAAAAAGCTCTACTTTTGTCTCATCTTTCCATGGTACGTTCTCCAAGAGGGATTGTGGTTTTGGCATACTCCAGTCTTGCTCTTTTATGCCTTTGTGTCAGCAGTGGTGTCCTCCTGGGTCTCCTACCACAGCACTCTTTTTCATTCAGATGGCAACGGATAGTGCGAGCCAACACTGTTGTACTCTGTCTGCCATTTTTGAGTTTCTGTGTGGGATTGTGTAAGATTTGACTTTTCCTCTCTGTTTTTCTGTGTTGTTCCAACGCAAACCAAAGAAATGAACATGTGAGTACCAAAACATTTGCAACTGCAACAATTTTCTGACAGAACTGCAAGTGTGCCAATATTTTTGGCCATGACTCTACATGCACAGCGGACGGGCTAGGTGGGGCTCCCACCAAAATTATAGAGGGAGGGAGCTCATCTATGAAAGGTTCCGATGTGGCAAGATGCACTCTGAATCTGCATCTGCAAAACTACATGCGTGCTTTGCCACAAAATGAGAAATTTCACTCAACAAATTCCAAGGAAATTCCAGTAAAAAACAAACTGTCAACAAAAAAAATTAGCATGTTTCAAAATTACAATATTTAGCACACCTCTACCCAAACAGAACAATTAGATTTTCAAGCCTAATATAATTATTATTCATGATAGCAGCACCTCTCCAGAGTTTCATGCAAAACCATTTTTCCAGCTCTATTCTGAAATGCTACAAACTGAACCCAAGATCTTTTACAGCAAAGTGTGTGCTTTAACACTGAGGTGTGATCCTTATATTCCAAAATACAGACATCATACAGGGAGAGAAGTCTGTAAAACAAACAAGACTGATCCAGGTTGTATCAATCATGGTATCCTGACATGAAAAGCAGCTTTTGCCCACAGCTATTTATCTTCCCCATTAGTCTATGCCGACATCTATATGAAAATTTTACTTGCTATTTCAAGTCTTCCTCCTCCTTTATCACTAAGCTGTTAACAATCTTTCAAGCTAGAAATTCCACACTGAATTATAATAAAAGTTTGACTTGGACATGTCAGTGCTAGTGAAAAAGAAAAGAAAACAAATATTTTCTCAAAATGAAAGCATGCCGACAAGTTGGGTTTTGAAAGTTACTGTTTTCATTGTCAAGGTCAGATGAAGAAATGGTTATCCTAAATATATTCACTCTCAGAAACATCACTGATATGCTATACCCAAAAATGATAGAAATCAGTAATTTTATGGGAAATGGAACAGCACAAAAGAGTTACTATAGATAGAAATTTTATTATGCAGTTTCATAGTGGACCAATGTTCTGTCAGACGTTAAACCAAAATTACCAAGGCATAGATTTACCAAAAAAAGTTTCTTCCAAAGCCATGAACTGTAAACCCTGAAAACTCTCCTTTATATTTTTTGGAGGTTACTGTCAGGCCTCGATGGATAAAAAGTTGGACCTTCACATTATTTTGAAGTGATCACTTATTCCATGGCCATGATTCCACCTATACACCTTCTTCTATAATAGGCCATGATTCCACCTATACACCTTCTTCTATAATAATAATTGTGTGTCATCGACTCAATTCTGACTTCTGGTGACCCTTTCCAGAGTTTTTGAGGTAGCGAGTACTCAGAAGTAGTTTACCATTCCCTTCTTCTGGGGGCACCCCTAGACTGTGCAGCTTGCCCAGGGCTACACAAGCTGGCTTTCCCCCCCCCCTTAGGAAATACAGTGGGGAACTAATCTCCCAACCTCTGGCTCCACAGCCAGATACCAACATTCCCTCTAATTTTCCAGAGTGCTGGGTGGGGGCCCTGCCCTAAGTGTCCAGGGTTCTGGATGCAACTGGAAGCAAATGGGCAGCAACACTGGCTCAGCTATGTGGTTTCCAGCTTAGACGGAATGTTGCCAGATAACTAAGTCACTGACCTATCTATCCTTCTCTTACAAAGTTTTATTACGATGGTTTGGCTCTGAGCCCTGATCTATTTATTGCACAGGTAAATGACAGCATAATTTCTATCTAGCCAGTGCAGTTTGTTAATTACATTCTTAAACTGCTTAAGTAATGAAGCTACACTCTGAGGTTATTAGGAGACATGGCCTGGGGACCAGCATTTAACTAAATTGCAACATTAAAGCAGCAGGCATAGAAAACAGCCTTACAGGACAGAGACTTGGCTGTTGCCTCTGTTAGCTTCATGGCTGCAATCTAGCCTTTAACACACAGTCTTAAACTTGCCAGATTCTAAAATATATTGTCCAGTTTGGTACACAGCCATAATACACTTGTAAGATAAAGGAATTTATTGTCATTCTTCTTCCAACAACACAAACAGAGCTTGCAAAAAAGCAAAAGCTTGATGAAAGGTCATCTGTAAACCAACTGTTGAAAACCCCATACTAATTTCACACTGGGAGAAAAAAACTGCTTGACCCTCATAATATTGAAGATGCCCTGGAATTCTTTTCTTTGACAGTAAAAAGGCATTCCATAATAAGCCTTATTTTATCTCTGAATTCATTCATTAATATCTCCACATAAAATAAAATCATACAGCAGTGGATGTTAAACTAGATGCATAGAGATACGGTGTTGGAAGAAAGTAAGAAGAAATTTTCATTTGGAAAAAAGCCAGGTACTGTGGACTCAGATGTTTAGATTAATTATTTTAAATGTATTTATTCCATCACTTCCTCCCTGCAGCTTTCATAACTGATTTTAGAAACACAAGATATAAAAATCACAACACTGAAAAACAAACACTTCAGCTGAATCCTGTTGCTTATTTAGTAACTTGGAACTAGACTACACCTGTTGAATTAATTTATGAAGGAATTGACTTATATCTCCTGTGATTTAATAGGTCTACTCTCATCATGACTTACTACACTAAGCAACTGGATTCCCGCCAATAGGTACTGAATAGGCAGAAGATGAAAATCCTGTTAAAGCCAGTTAAAAACCATACAGTATTTTAAAAGAATAACAGAAAATTTTCATCTTAGATTCCTTCCTCAACAGCAGTTTACAAATTTTACATATTAAAAGCCTGTCTGAAA